TGGGCCTGGGCGCTGTCCCTCAGCTCTTCAGCTCAAGGCTAGGGCTCTACCACTTGAGCCACAGCGCTACTTCCGGCTTTTTTCTTTTTGCTTATGTGGTGCTGAGGAATCCAACCCAGGGCCTCATGCATGCAAGGCAAGTGCTCTACCACTGAGCCACCTTCCCAGCCCAACACATCCGGCTTTTTAAAGTAATATATTGGAGATAAGAGTCTCGTGGAGTTTCCTGCCCAGGCTGGCTTTGAACCACCATCCTCAGATCTCAGCCTCCTAATAGCTAAGATTACAGGTGTGAACCACCAGTACCCACCTTAATTTTAATTTATTTATTTAACTATCAATTTTCTGGGGGGCCAGTACTGGAGCTTGAACTCAGGCCTGAGCATGACTCTGAGCTTCTTTTGCTCAAGGCTAGCTCTCTACCACTTGAACCACAGTGCCACTTCTGGCTTTTTCTGTTTATGTGGTACTGAGGACTCAAACCCAGGACTTCATGCATGCTACACAAGCACTCTACCACTAAGCCACATCCTCAGCCTAATTTTTAATTTTTTTTTTGGTCAGTCTTGGGGGCTGAACTCTGGGCCTGGGCGCTGTCCCTCAGCTCTTCAGCTCAAGGCTAGTGCTCTACCACTTGAGCCACAGCTCCACTTCCGGCTCTTTCTGCTTATGTGGTGCTGAGGAATCGACCCCAGGGCCTCATGCATGCACGGCAAGCACTCTACCACTGAGCTACCTTCCCAGCCCGAGAAAAGAATTTTTTAGGTTTTCCTTCCTGGTACTGGCGTTGATCCTCAGCTCTCAGCCTCCTGAGTAGCTGGGATTGCAGGTGTGTGCCATGTGTGCCCTGCTTTGGTTTTGCTTCTTCATTCAGGTTCAGATGGATTCTTCCACGGTGGGCTCGTGTGTTCTCTCCTCTTCTCCCAGGCCAGACCTTGAAGCTTAGAGCGAAGCGGAACTCCTGAGCCAGGCCAGAAGTTGAAGGCTGTGCGAGAAAGGAGCCTGCCAGCTCTTGGCCACAGGGCAAGTCGTTTGTCTGCTCATCACAAAGGCTCCAGCTCCTGGTAGTGGCCAAGGGGACAACAGGGCCTTTTTCCCAGGTGTCCGGCACAAAAAGGCCATCCTGGGTGAGGCCCTCGGGAACCACCCCCAAGACCAACCTGTCCCAGGCCTCAGGCTCGCCCCATCCGACTTTCCAAACGTTGGGGAGAGCCAAGGCATAAGGGAGCCCCCCCGGGGTGCTGTGATAGTCACCTCCAAATGCCAGCGAGGCAGCTGGCCGCCCGGCGCGCGCACACGGGTCACACGGCTCATTTCACCCAGGTTTCAGCCGCCCCACACCGGGGTGCTAAGCCTCTCCCCGTCCGGAGTTGGAGAGCCCACCCGACCTTCATTAAGTTCTTTCCCGCCCGGGGCCGGCAGGTGCGCGTTTCGGCAGGATGGTGCGAAGGGCAGCTGGGCGCCCCGCCGGGAAGCCCCCTCCCGCGCCTCGGCCCCAAGGGCACGTCCGGCGCCCACCCCGCAGGTATATAAGCACGGAGGAGAGCCGCCGGGCCCTAGCGGGCCGAGCGCCGGAGCGGCCGCCCAGCACCCCCGACCTGGAGCCCCCCGGAGCCCCCGGAGCCGAGCTCAGCCTCCCCGCCGCAGGTAAGGGCGCACGGGGCGCACGGGCGCCGGACCCCGCCCGGGACCTCGGCACGCGCCGCCCGCGGGCAAGGCGGCCTCGGGCCCCCGGGGACCGTCCCGGTCCCGAGTTCTTGGCAAACTTGGTGAGCTGACGGCGGCGTGGCGGGACAGCCGGGCTGAGCCCCGGCCGAGGGCGGAGGGCGGCGACGCCGCCGAGGGCGCGGCCGCCCCGGCTCCCCGCGGGCTCTCAGCGCCCGGGTGGGGAAACGGAGGCCGTGGGCGAGTAGGACCCTCGGGGGGAGATCTTGGGACCGCGGCCGTTTTCGAGTCTTCTTTCTGATTTTCCGAGTGTTTGCCACGTCTTCAAAGGAAGCCGCCCCGCACAGAGCGACCACGACCGTGGGGAGGCCCGAGGGAAATAAACCTTCTGTCCGGAGAGGTTTTTAGCGTTAACTCTTGGGCGCCCCAAAGCACGTTGCAGCGCCGGTCTTGGCACGCCCGAGGCCGCAGTCCTACGGGGGAGGTCCGCGGGATTGTGGGGCCAAGGACGAGACCCCGGGCTCGTCCAAGGCCCGGCTAGGGTTAAAAACAGGTGCCCCGCCGGGAGCTGTCCAAGGTCCTGAAACGCCCGGGCTGGATTTTGGATGTCCCCAGCCCGACTCCAGCGGGACCCGCACCCTGCAGACCCAGGCGGCCGTCCGGGGCACCCGGGCGCGGGCGCGGGGCATTTACAAGGACGGGAGGAAAGCCCGCGTCGCACACTCTCTGTGGGCCAAAGAGTGGCCTTCACGGAGAGACCGGGAGGAGCCAAGGAAAAGGAAGAGTGCGCCTTTATTTATCCCTCCACAAGGTAATGTACACGGTTAATTTTCCCTCAGACGGGGATAAGACTTGATCATTGTGTCATTACATGTCCGGAGAGGAAACCACATTTCTGCTTCTTGAATCTGTACCGAAGAGCATGGCAGTGTGGAGTTTGAATAACAAACGTAATGAAATCCTCATCAGTGTCGTTCTATTATAAAATTACCGTCAAGATGAGCAGATGTTTCTATTTTCCAGGGCTTTCAAAGGACAAAGAAACCCTACTTTTTTTAATGCTTGCTTTAAAAAAATGACATAAGATACTATTGTTCGTTGTAGGAAAAAGACCCTTAAGCGAAATGTAAGTTGCTTTCAGGCAACCATTCGATTTTTTACGTGTGGAGGAGGAGCTGGGGGAAGGGCAGGGCGCAGCATTTACAGCCCGGCTAGTGGGGCGGGAGAGGTGAGGAAATGCTCTCTGGGGCTTCTCAGGAAGGCCCAATTCAGGCCATCCACAACGACCAACTTCGAGGAGAAATGAAGCGTAGTTGAGGAGACTTTCATGCCTCTATGATTTTTTTATTCTACTAATACATTATTTTATATTAGCCACCTTTTTCTTCTTCTACTTCTCTGGCAATATCTCGGTGAGTCACAGTCCTGAATGTGCTAGATGTTCTCAGTGCTTTGGTGTAATTGACTTGACCACCGAGTTCCGGCTGCCTGCTTGAACTAGAAGTTCAGCAGGCTACAACAGAAGTGGTCTATCACTGATTAGAAGGAGCCAGCAAGGTTGACCAAGCGCCCCTGGCTGCCCCCTGGGCTTAGGTGCTGCCCGGTCAGCTTCCCGGCTGCCAGCGCCATCTAATGGCTTGTCGGAAAACACACAGCGGATGCCCTGTGCCCACTTTGAAGCTAGTTCGGAGCAGGCCAAGTTCTTGGGGAATGGGGCAGGGGTGGGACAGAGAGAAGGAAGTGGCGTCCCGAAGTAGACAGTGAGGGCCAGGGAGAACTTTTACTTCCCAAAACATCTCCTCTAAACAAAGACTCAGCCCACACCCCTCTAAATGACAGCTTTCTCTCAGGCAAATTTACTGCACGATGCAAATGTTCGTTAAGTGTGACAAGACACTTAGTCATCTATACGTTAAGGTGAATTTCTTTGATCATCTAATGAAATTTCTAACAGCTCTTGGAGAAGATCTTTTGAATGCCAAAGTGATTGTAGAATTGGTGGTGAGCTGATTACAGAATAGGGTGATTTCGGGGGCTCCCCTGGGTGAGAAGAAATATGGCAATGTAAGAGCTAGAGGTGTTGGGGAAGGACAAGGATGTTGGGGACAAAGACACTGTGGGTTTCCTGCCCTGAATTCGGGTCTCTTGATGACAACCTCCACTCAAAGGTACTTCCTGGATTCTCCAATGGTATCTTCAGTATTTATTCACACTGGAAGTAGCTCCCTTCCACTCTCTGTGTCCATCACTTTCCCCACCTAACACCCACATACTCAAATCCAGATTTTTGAGAGATCTCCAGATCTCTGGAGAACAAGAAGCCTGTATTCAGATGATGAGCCAGTTTAAGAGAACAAGGACCAGCTTTAAAAATAAATCTCTCAGGGCTGGGAAGGTGGCTCAGTGGTGGAGTGCTTGCCTTGCATGCATGAGGCCCTTGGTTCGATTCCTCAGCACCACATAAGCAGTAAAAGCTGGAAGTGGGGCTGAGGCTTAAGTGGTAGAGCGCTAACCTACAGTTGAAAAGCTGAGGGACAGCGCCCAGGCCTAGAGTTCAGGCCCCATGACCAACAAAATCAATCAATCTCTCCCGGAGCTGGGATGTAGCTCAGTGGTACATGCAAGGCCCTACCTTCGATCTCCAGCATCACAAAGAGAGAGTAAGCCTCTCCATAATTACTGCGGTTTGAGAAGTAGTGATCACCTGAATGAACTGTGTGCAGGACACAAACCACAGGGACAGTTTTATTTGCCCTTTATGCAAATTTAATATTTATGGACAATACTTTTAGAGAAGTGAAAGGATCTTTGTAGAGGAGGGGGGTTGGAAGAGCATCTCGACCAGGAACCTAGTCCTTTGTCTTTCTCAAGTTACTCTCATCCATTTTATGTGAAATGTTAGAACTATTGCTTCCACAGCGTGCAGGGAACTAAGAAAGCTCTGTGCTAGAAACTCTAGAACTTAGCTTTACCTGTCATGAACATGAAAGTTATTATCTCTCCCTTGGGCTTTGATTTTTCCTATCTCTTATATATGAAGGGCTGGAGCAAGTGATTCCCAAATAGCTTCCAGCCCTGATCTCCTTAGGGGTCTGGTTTTAACATGAGATGAAAGGAAAACTGTCCATCATTGTCCCGGGTCCCATTTCCCCTCTTGCCTCCCACAGCCCCTTCTCGGCAACACTCCTGTCCTCAAAAAGCCTTGGACTCCACAAGTGAGTGTTGTTAATGTTGGCTCACGGTTCTTCCCGGGGACTGGCCAACATTGTTCTAGTCACTGCAGGGGTTCCACCAACTTGTTTGCTTCTGCAGAACTTCAGCCTGCCACCTGGAAGATGCCGAGGTCGTGTTACAGTCGCCCAGGGGCCCTGCTGCTGGCCTTGCTGCTTCAGGCCTCCATGGAAGTGCGTGGCTGGTGTCTGGAGAGTAGCCAGTGTCAGGACCTTTCCACGGAAAGCAATCTGCTGGTATGTGCATGGTGGGTCATGGATGCCACCTGGTGTGGGCACCAGAGGGGACTAGTGCTGGGGCAGCTCAAAAGAAAAGGGTGTGGGGAAGGGAACATTTATTTCCATTGACTGGGTAACCCGGGATAGGAGCAAAACTTTGCTGGGAAAACTGAAAACAAACTTGGCAGAAAGCCAGGCTCCCAGAAGCATGAGATTTTTTGGTACCAGTTACTGAGAAAGCCTCTCTGGGGCAGGAGGGTGTGGCTCACAGCCGATGAGAGGAGGGAGCAGCTTCAAAGAGATGGGTCTAGTCCACAATTTCTGTTTCATTATCCCAACCTCCTCATGTGTCTTCTATGGAGACCCCACACCATTTAAACTAGTTAGTGCCATATCAACAATAATTGCTCCTTCAACTAATTCTATATCACTGACCATTTTAGCCCCGAAATCATGCCTTTTAAAAATAGCCTCACATCACCATTTTACTCCATATTTCTTCTCCTTTTATCTACTATCTACTCCTTTTATCTTCAAAGCCAGATGGGTATCTCCACTAAAGGGAGACTAGAAGGAGAAGGAAAAAACCTTTTGTTCCTCCTAGTGCTAAGGATCAAACCCAGGGTCTCACACATACTAGGCAAATGCTCTACTTCTGAGCCACACCCTCCTGCCCCAGAGAGACCACTTTCTTGGTAACTGGTATCAAAAAAATCTCATGCTTCTAGGGGCCTGGCTCTCTGCCAAGTTTGTTTTCCATTTTCCCAGTATGTCAAGGTCCATTGTGTCAGGTCACCACAAGTTATGAGTGTGTATGTGCATATGTTTGTGTGTGCCTACCATGTGTATGTGCGCTCAGCACCTGCCAAATCAAAATGGAATATCCATCATTATATCCTGTGTGTTTTGTCAATGGTGTACTGAATTTAAGTGATGGGAGAAAACCTGAAAACACAGAGCAGGTTCTATGTATAAAATAGAAACAAGAAGCCTGGGGGATTCTAAGAGTTCCATTTCAGAGAAATCCAAAAGACATTCACTCTATAGTTTCTTTTGTTGAGACTTCACCAGGAAGGGAGCACTGTACACAGAGCTCATGGGTTCTAGTTCCACTTCTGTTGCCAGTAAGAGTTGATCAATGACCTTAACCATGTCCTTTCATCTCTCAGCTTCCTGTTTCATTATGTGACTAAGGGTGGTGAGCCTATCTTACATTGTTTTCATTTTCCACAGTTAACATTTGGCCTGTTATAATTCTAAATTCCAATTTGCCAAACTCAGTGGGATCCTTCTGTTTTCTCCCCTGTAGTTCCTAAGCGAATGAAAGACTCAAGGCTGTAGTCTATGGGCCATTTTCCTAAGCAAATTGAGTCCTCTATGGCAGGTAGTAGAAACACCAGCTCCACAGAAATAACTCTGGCTTCCTACTCTCCCCTTTAGTCAAAATGAGGTGGCAGGAAAGTGAACCATCTTGTCCCAAATTTCAGACTAAGGGAAGGTATAAGGAAATCAGTTCTGAAGACACAAACGGCCCACTGGGTGCTGGAAAGCTTTGAGACACAGTGCAAGGAAAGGACTGGGGGTTAAGGCATGAAGTAGGTTTATAGATCACTGGGGTAACATTGAGGAATTGTTGGAAGTAGACGCCTAGAAATCTATCACTTGACATTCTCTCCTAAATTCCAATCCTGTGCCTCTCCTGATCTTGAACCGTAAGTACTCAGTATCAAGTACCCACAATGACCATCCATCTGCTTTAGGGGGAGGAATTCCTACAAAGGGAGTAATACATATAATGCATGGTAGGGCCCAGCTCTCAAGTCCATGGGAGGACAGACCGTGGAGTGCAGATGGGGCAGGAAAGATGTCCAGGTACGGGCATGGCGGCCTCGACGTGAGGCGTGGCCTCTAGCGTCCCGAGCAGGCGAGGCCCCGGCGAGGCGCGGGAGGCCGCAGGGCCCGGCTCCCTCACGCGCTCTCTTTCCAGGCGTGCCTGCGGGCCTGCAAGCCCTACCTCTCCGCCGAGACGCCCGTGTTTCCGGGCAACGGCGACGAGCAGCCATTGGCCGAGAACCCCCGGAAGTACGTCATGAGCCACTTCCGCTGGGACCGCTTCGGCCGCCGGAACAGCAGCAGCAGCAGCAGCCGCAGCCATGGCGGCGCCGGGCAGAAGCGCGAGGCGGAGGTGGCGGCGGGCGAAGGCCGCGTCCCGGTGCCCCTCCGTAGCGGCGGGCTCCCCGGCGGCGAGGGCGCCGAGCCGAGCCCACGCGAGGGCAAGCGCTCCTACTCCATGGAGCACTTCCGCTGGGGCAAGCCGGTGGGCAAGAAGCGGCGCCCCGTAAAGGTGTACCCCAATGGCGCGGAGGACGAGTCGGCCGAGGCCTTCCCCCTGGAGTTCAGGAGGGAGCTGGCGGGCCAGCGGCCCGACCCCGACGCCAGCGACCCCGACCCGGAGTACGGCCTGGAGCCCGAGGCCGAGAAGAAGGACGACGGCTCCTACCAGATGGAGCACTTCCGCTGGGGCAGCCCGCGCAAGGACAAGCGCTACGGGGGCTTCATGAGCTCGGAGAAGAGCCAGACGCCGCTGGTGACGCTGTTCAAGAACGCCATCATCAAGAACGCCCACAAGAAGGGCCAGTGAGGCGCGGGGCCTCTGGGCTCCCGTCCTCGCCTGGCGTCCTCTCGCCTCTCAGCCCCGGAGATCCGCTCCTGGGCTCGGGCAGTACCGGGGCATTCAGCCTCCTAAAGCTGCCTTGTAGTTAGGGAATAAAATCTTTCCAATTTCATAGCTGACTCTGACTGAATATAGACTCTGGTTTAAAAGAAAAAATACTCTCTCAGCCATTAGAGAGAGCAAAAAAAAAAGGTTTTCAGTGGTCGGGTGGCATATTTCATTGGAGGTAGGGACAATGCAAAGAAAGTACCTCCACCTCTCTACCTCCAGTAAATGAGTGGAGACCAACATCTTCATGTTCCACACCTTCATTATGCTGCAAACACAGCAGAGTGACCACATCTATGTGGTCAGGTCAGACACTGAAAAGGCAACTCCTGAGGCTCACACACCACTAGAAAGGCACTCTGGGCTATCAGGTGGAAGTTGTAGTCATCCCTTTCAGGATCTGAGTTCTGGCAATACTCTTCCATGTTTCTGACCTTAGGCAAGTGAACTTCTCCAACTTCTCAGTTGCTTCCTAAGAACTTTGGCCAGGATTAAAGGAGAAAATGGATGAGAGCCAAGTGTGAGAGCTGAGAATTGCTATCAGTTCTAATCTGGCCAAAGATACAGACCCATAAAGACACGTGTCTTTTAATACAATATACATAGGCTTCTTCCAGTCCCTCTGCCTCAAGTTTTGAGGTCCTGTCTCCTGCCTCAATGTGTCCCAGCTCCTCCCTCCTGTGTTGTCCAATGACAGTCCTTCTCTTCCTTTCTGGACTTTACTATCACAACTGGCCCTAACCAGTTGTTCTCCAGCCTATCATATACAAACTGCTCTTGAATGTATACAAAAGCTTGCTCTTCTCTACTCAGACTCCCTGGCCTACAAGCCAAGAGTGCTATCCTCAAATTTCCCATCATGTGTAAAGTACTAAAGTAAGGCAGGCAAGGCCCTTGTCAACCAAGCTCACTCTCCTTAATGAACCTTTCTGAGGATGAAGGCTCTGCCTGATTCCCACTGGTCTCACTGATCACTACCTAGAAGGCCTGGACTTTTCTCATCATTCCAAATGCCTTTTTTTTTTCTCAACATAAGTCACCTCAAATCCATCTCCACTGGGCAAGTCATGCTCTCTCCCAGCTACCTATCCCTGCTCATCTTCAGGGTTTCCACTAGTAGAGGGCATGTTGCCTGGCTAGGATGCCAAACAACCGTACATGGAAGTGTTGTCCCTTCGGGGAAACTCTAAGATCTGAAGGACAGAAGCCAGGTGTCATGTTTCTTGAGTCTCCTTGTGTTTTTACCATGCTGTGGCCACAGATTTGTAAGCCACTTGTTCATAAGGGATGCACATACATGAGACTTACCTTAGACTTATCAGTGAATGTAAAGCTAGATAGAAGCTAGGTGTCAGTGGCTCACCTTTGTAATCCTAGTGACTCAGGAGGCTGAGACCTGGAGAATTGTGGTTTATAGCCAGCCCAGATAAAGTCCACAAGACTCAATCTCCAATTAACTAACAAATGCTGGGCTGAAGGTGTGGCTCAAGTGGTAGAGCACCAGCCATGAGCAAGAAAATGGAGTGAAAATGAGAAGCATTGTTACCAAGACCTGATAACAGCAAAAAAAAAAAAAAAAAGTCAACCAATGGAAAAGAATTTTGTATGATAGCACATATACATATTCCCCCTGTATTTGGTGCTGTGGGCATTTACAATGAAGGAGAATAGGGACTGAACCAGAGAAGTCCTGGTGTGAGGCAAACCTGAGTGCCAAATTAAGGTTTCTGCAATGAGGTTTATAGGAAATGAGGTAGGAGAAAGAATGGCTGAGCCCTTCTGAGGATGCGCCTCAGGTTTCTATCTGGGTAGCATCCTTTCCCATCCCCTCCCCTCCTTCCTTTGGAGTCAGTCAGGTGAAGTAAGGGCCGGTGGGGGTGGCTAAATGTCAGCAGTACCTTGTTGATATTTTAAGATTCTGTTTTTATCTCCAGAAAACCATTTGCTTTGAAGAAATCAAGCATTCGACCATGTGGTGACAACATTAACATTTATTTGGAAAGGGCACTATGAAGGCTCATTGGGAAATTGCAACTGAATGCCCTAAAGAATGATTTTGCTAAGAGTCCTTCCCACGCTCCCTTCACTCCCCCTTTGCCCTCCCCTTCCCTAAAAATAATTCTAGTTTGATTCAGCAAGTTTAAAAGACAGAAAACTGCCACAGGCACTAATTCTGCACTCACATATAAATATGTCAGCTATTATATACATATATTGGCAACTACGAACTACATTACACACATGCACACACACACACTCAGCCAGGCCATGAATGGACAGACACACACATTACAATGTAAGGGCTGCAGCATTTCTGGACTTAAAACTCTGCACTCCATATGTCAGAATCAACAGTCATGGAGGAAGAGCTCAAGGGAAGGTGCTGAGCTCAGGAGGACCTGTGGTCTCCTGGAGGGGAGAGGACCTACCTGTCAGTCAGCCTTGTGCTAAAGGAAAACCAAAGAAGTCCTTCCTCATCTCCCCACTAACTAGCCAGGGTCCAGGATAGGGTCCATGATTTTCCCTATGCAATCTTCAGACCTAGGCCCAAGTTGGGGTAAAGGGCCACAGTAACCAATTACTAGGGTAACATACTGCTCTGACTCCTCCCCAGATACTATTTTTGAGTTGGCCTGTTCTGATGACTTCATTTTTGCCTTGAAACATAATAGCCCAGCAATTCAGGTCTTTCTCTTCCCTTAGGTTCCCATACCAGCCAGCTACGATCTTCTTGAAAGTATTGGGGTTTGAACTCAGGGCCTTGCACTTGCTCTTTTTTTTAGTTCTACCAATTGAATCATGCTTCCTAGTCCTCCTTTTTGCTGATTATTTGGGGGATGGAATCTTACAGATTTTTCTGCCTTGGTTAGTTTCAAACCATGGTCCTCCAGATTTCAGCCTCCAGAGTAGCTAGGATTACAGGTGTGAGCCACTGGTGCCTAGCTTATGTATTTTTATGACTCAATTCCTCAAATCATTCATACCTAAACAATTCTATCACGAGGACACCGACTGTCTATTCCTTTCCCACAGAGATCTCATGGGAGGGGCTGGAGGGGGGGGGAAGGCATGTCGGTTCCCTTGGGCTCAAGATTACAATAGAGAAGGGGAGAGGAAAGAAGCATGAGATGCTGCTGCCAGATGGCCTACAGGCAGGACGTGGGACTTGGTACTAGGTTCTTCCATTGAGATCCTACCTCTTTCAGGGCTTTGATGGGGTGACATAATTTGTGCTCATCATTTAATTTTCTGTCCAGATTAACAATCACCTTAAACTTCCGACTCTAAGGCATTCCTGACTAGGATCCAGATTCTACTCCATGTCAGCAGGAACCTATATCCTACTGAGTGTGGACTTCAATGGAAACTGAAAAGAGAGCTCACAGAAAAAAAAATGCAGCCTCTTGCTCAACAGCATAGCTTAAAGAAAAAGCTGCCCTGGGGCAGCAATCCAGCCCACTGGATGGAAGCCCTATGCCTTGTCTATGTCTTTTCTTTTCTTTCCCAGAAGCAGGGAGGAACCTCTAGAAAAGGGTCCCATGTCGTAGAACCAAGTCCTTCAGGCAGTGCTCAGGGTGAAGTTGCTATGGGAACCCTAATTAACGTGGAAACAAGAAAGTAGTGAGCATCTCTTATCAAAGATGAACATGAGTAAAAGATGGATAATTGGTGAGGAAAGGTATGTTTGTGGGGCTCACGGTTTAGATTCACTTCAAGGATTATTTGTTGAAAGTTATTTTAAACTTGGCTTCTGAATAAAGAGATAATAAAGAGAAATCTAAGTCCATGCTTGTAAGGTTGGGTTGAGACAAAACCCCACAGAAATGGCCAAAAAGCTCTGGGAAGCAGGGCCTCAGCCAGGGCTCTGTGACCATGCAGGCTGTGCAGGAGCTATGTGCGTACAGCACCAGGTAGTGACCATAGGAAAAGAGCTGTATCCTAAATGAGGGAACTACAGGGACGGGGGTCCGTCAGTCCCCTTGCCATGGCATTTAGTGCACATGCGTTAGGAACTGCATGCGTTAGGTTCTCCTGATTTTAGAATTCACTCATCAATCCTACCAATCAGGCTCTCACTGGGTATCTGCACAGAGTCATGTATAGGATGTGATCTGAGGGTATCTTCCCCATTCTGGTCCACTGATAAAAACTTTGCCTTTTGAGTCAAGAAATCTCTTTACTCTCCTGTCTTTAAAAAAAAAAAGTACATTCTCCAGCGAGAGAACATTTGACCATCCATAACTTCCTGAGTGATGTCAGCTCAGGAAAGCTATGGGAAGTCTGAAAGAAGAGGGGGCTACTCTGGACCACAGGGCCTAGCCCCTGGAGGAGGTACAGATGAGATTCTGCCAATGGTGCTGAGGGGCACAGAGGCACCTGGAGGAAAGACTGGGAAAGGGATGCAGGATGGAGCAGCTAGCAGCCTTTTGCACGCTCTGCCTGGCTCTGAGCCCATGGTTCTTAGCAAAGACCAGTGACACAGGAATGGGCAGACAGCACTAAGGACAAAGAAAGCCCAGAACTAAAAAGGTCTCTTCCTCCTCTCCCCAGGCCACAAGCAAAGCCACTTGTCACCAGTGTCCCAGACTTTGTACAGACAGTGAAGAACTAATTCTGCTATTAGCTGCTAGACTCTTTTCCTCAAATGGGACATTCAAAAGGTGGATGTCTGATGTCCTTGAGTCCCGAAGCGCCACTCATCCGCTTCTCCCGCCCTCCTGGAATCTCTTCCATGGGAGGTGATGTGGCAGGCCTCGGGGACCCTGTACTTCTTCCCCCCTTTCCAGTTACCCAGAACCAATTACACTGTTCTGCCTTTCCTCAACCTAGACGCTGTGGAAACATCTTCAGATCCTTGAAAGACAGACACCAAGGAGAGAGAACTCAACCAACACAGAGAAACATCCAGAAAACAGAAAGCCACGGGAGGGCTACTACAAAGTCCTTCTGAACAAAGGCCATGAGAAGATGCTACAGAGGGACTAAGACTGGCCACACTTGTGCTCGAGACAGGAGGCAGGTCCCGGAGGAAACTAGCCACCCACATTGAGAGAAGCGGCCTTTCTGGACCCCCCGGGGCCACCCATCCTGTCCTTCATTCCACTACATAGTCCCCCTCCCACCTGTGTCTCTACCTCCAGCTCCTAACAGCTCAACATTCATTAGTAGTAGTAAGAAACAGACAACTGGAGGCTAAGCAAGAGAGGAAGAGACACTGAGACTTCAGTTGGGGTGGAGGGGGACTGCAGGGTAAGAGGCCGCCATCTTCTAGCTACCATATTGCCACTTCTTTACTTGGTTCCTCTAAGTGCCATCTATGGCTTCCTTTGACTAACCAAGTCTCCATCTACTGCCCTCTTCTGGTGGTGGCTGATGGGCCCCCACAGAGGTATCCCTAATGGAAACCATCTTCCCACACACCAGGTTGGAGACCTAGGCCTTTTGGCTTCCCTCTGGAGACATTCCCATGATTCTCAGGCCCATACAGAAGACAAGGGCACAGGTGAGATGCTTTTTGGCTCCAGAGGACAGGTGGTGGGATCTCCCTCAGGGAAGACAAGGAGAAGGCGGGAGCCCCATCTTTCCAGAGAAGGCCTGGAGGCTCCACCTTGAGCAGGGGAAGTTCTCTCATCCAAGGGGACTGAGTTTCTCAGAGCTCGCAGCTGGATTTCCACGTGGTAGGGGTAGTCGTGAGGATGAGCCCTCGAGAGGACCCTGTCCCTCCTCCAGGGAGGACCACTCTTGGAATTCAGTACACACAGAGATCGGGGAACTTCATCTCGTAGACTGGGATGGAGTGGTTCTGTGGCTGGCCGTAGGCTGCAGTGATGGTTCCCGATGGGCTTGGAGGGGGCCTGAGTGAGACATATGGAGAAGAAAGGTGTAAAGCAGGCATTCTGTGGCCCCACCCCAGAGCAAGTCAACACAGCTCACATGCTGATGTCTGTTTGCACAGGAATTAGGGATCTGGTCATTCCACAGATCTCCAGGTTTTCAAGTTGCTCTAGAATTTATAGCTCAATCAAGTCTCTATGCAGATAAGACCACTGCTTTAGAAATCAAGTACAATCAGCCTGGGACACTAGGATCCCTTGCCCTTGCGACACTTTACCGAGCTAGCTTCTTTCCCTCTGATTTCCATTTCCTCATCTAGAGAGAGTTCATGGATGACTCTTGACTGGGGACCAAGGTGGAGGGTCAGGGGAGGACAGAATGCAGGTGTTTGAGGAGGACTCAGCGAGAGAAGCCTCATGATAGACACAGAGGAAGAGGCCCCCCTCCTCAGGGCTACAGCTTACCGGATGGTGATCTCAAAGATCTGGTTGAGTTTGCTCTGCAGCAGTGATGCCTAAACACAAACAGAGAAGAAGTGAGCTGGGTTCCCATCATACCTGCAGCTGACTCATAGGCCATGTGTCCACGGGGAGTCTCAAGTGCCCCGCAGGAGAAACTGTGGAAGGCAACCAGCTACAAGCTTCTCCCCAGCACTTGCACGCTGGACCCTGACTGTGGCTTCAGATCATTGAAGGCTGGCTGGGGACAGGACAGAGGGCCAGGAGCTCCAGGGATGACTTCAGCCAATTAAGGTCCTTGCTCCTGAGCCAGTTGCTAGGAAAGGACTGCAGCCGTGGAATGAGTGCCAGTCCTTTTGTTAGTTCACATGTGTCCAGTTACTGGGCCTCAACAGTGACTGGGCCAACTCACTCCATAAAAGGTGCAGTGTCTATGAAGGTGGGATGGGAAGTTAAAACATAGGCCTAGGAAACCTGTATTTTATTCAGCTGGAAAATATATAAATTGACATAAATATAAGATACAAGCTGAGCATGATGAGGCATACCTGTAATCCCAGAACTCAGCAGACTGAGGCCGGAGGATCTCAAAGTCTTAAGCCAACTTGGGCTATACATAGAGAGTACTACACACACACACTCACACACACATACACACACACACACACACACACACACACACACACACAGAGCTGGGCACAGTGGCTCATGCCTATAAGCCTAGCTACTTGGGAGGCTGAGACCAGGAGAATCATGGATCCAGGCCAGCCTAAGTAGCAAAGTGTGACAACTCCAGTTCTACAAAGGAAAGCTGGATATGGTATACTTGTGATCCCAGCAATGAAAAGAAGCCTAAAGTAGGCAGGTTGTCACTCAGGGTGAGCCTGGGTAGCAGGATTAAGACCCCATCTCAAAAATAACTAGTGAAAAACAGAGCTGGCAGTGTAGCTCAAGTGGTAGAATGTTGTCCTAGCAGGTGTGAGTTCAAACCCCAGATTGCCTATAAACAAACAAACAAGTATCTACACACACCTACATATAAAATCCATACAAATATATGTATTTTGTGGCCAGAAAAGGTGTGTAGATTGTGAATGTTCACAATTTTGTTTTATAATTATAATAATTGCAAGAAGCACTTGAGCTTCTTCCTTGGTCCAGCCACAGTCTGCAACTGTACTTGTCTGGTTGCTCTTTCCCATCTTTCTTTCTTTCTTTTTTTTTTTTTTTTTGGGTCCGGTCCTGGGGCCTGAACTCTGGGCCTGGGCGCTGTCCTTCAGCTCTTCAGCTCAAGGCTAGCGCTCTACCACTTGAGCCACAGCGCCACTTCCGGCTTTTTTCTTTTTGCTTATGTGGTGCTGAGGAATCGAACCCAGGGGCTGCTCTTCAGCTCAAGGCTAGCGCTCTACCACTTGAGCCACAGCGCCACTTCCGGCTTTTTTCTTTTTGCTTATGTGGTGCTGAGGAATCGAACCCAGGGGCTCATGCATGCAAGGCAAGCACTCTACCACTGAGCCACCTTCCCAGCCCCTTTCCCATCTTTCTTGTGAGGCCTGTGGCTCCCTCCTCCTGCTGCATCTCCTGAGTAGAGGAGGGCCCTGCTGCACTCCACCATCACTCCATACTTTGGGCATCATATGGCCAAATTACCCTCAGAAAAAAGCAAGCTAGTAAAACACTGTGGCTGCGTCATCTGGTCCCGTGCGCCTGGCAGCACTCATTCCTTATGAACACCGAAAGCCATTGGCTCTGGGGAGCTATGGAGTGGAGGAGGGCATGGGCAAAGAGCAGAGTTTTCAGTGCTGGAATCAAAAGCCCAAACTTCTGGAGGACAAAGAGCCAAAACATTTAAACCCAGTCTTGCTCTGGATGCAAATGTGGCCCCGATTTGGCTCTGGAGGACACCCCAGTGGAACCTCACTCACCCGGGCCCCACAGTGGGCTGCAATCTCCTCAAAGGGTGCCTTCTGGAATTTCTCCACCACCTGTCGCCGCCGCTCTCGTTCCTGCTCCTCCACGGCTACACTGTCCACTGAGACAACAGAGCTGGGTTAGGGCTCAGGTCCTCCCCTCCCTGCTGGTGAGGAAGGGGCGGGGCTGGATGAGATGGAAGTGGGTGGACTTTTAGGAGGACTCTATCTTCTGATGAGGAAGAGGGCTCTAGAGGCTGGATCTTTTCCTGCCTCTGCCTGAGATTCGGCCCTTTTCCTTGTTAACCACTGAGAACTAGTTAAGTGGACCTGTGGGCTGGACTTTGAAGGTCCCAAGAAGCTGCACTGCCATGAGGACTCTTAAACATAGTGGGCCTTTTTAGTACTCTGAGAGTAATTTCAAAAGGGCCGCGAGAGTCAGCACAGACCCGCTCCCTAGAACTGAGCCGTCTGAGGCCACTTAAGGCTTTGCACATGTCAATGCATCCAAAATGAGTTAATGCCAGAAAAGAAAAAGGGGGCAGGGAGGGGAATAGATGGTCCCTGTGCCCAGTTTAGGAAGGTAGGCAGAGAGGACTATTCATTACCAAAAGAGAAAAAGGTTTAAGGAGCCAGAAAGGGCTTAATGTTTCAGCAGTCAGAAAAATTCCCATAATGGGAGTACATCATGGCTGAACCATGTTGAAAAGTGAAGTAACACTGCAGTTTACAGTCAATTGCCCTTATTCTATAAATGCTAACAGGACTTGTTCTTACTCTTTCATTGATTAACTTGTTCTTTTGTATCACACTCAAAAAATTATTTATATAAAATCACTGGCTTGCTTGATAGAGGGTTCACGGGGCAACACTATTGTCCCCCATCAAGAGGGAAGACTGGGTGGCTGTGATGAGTTTGTAGGAAGCCACAGCCTCTGCTTCTGAGTCAATGGTAAATCTCATGAGGGAGCGGCCCTGCCCTCCCCGCTACCCAGAGTACTCTGGGACCCATGTCTTACCAATGGCCTTCTTCAGGGTCTCATAGGTGATCTCCTCAGCAGGCACTCGCTGAAGGAGGGGACAGAAATGCTCAGAAAGGCGGAGGAAAGAAAGAGGCAGCCCTGGATTCTTGAGCAGGACCTTTGCACCCTATTCTTGCTGGAGTTTCTGGAAGCTCCCTTAGCAGGTACTAAGAGCAAATGAAGTCCCAGTATGGAAGCTGATTCCCCATCAGATTCTCTAAGAAGTGAGTTCTAGCCTGTAGTCTGGGTGTGAAAGTTTATGGGGCTGTATCTACTTTTTGGATTTGTTTGGCTTTCAGGAGGCACTTGTTGGAATGGAAAGGACCCACGTGTAGATGTGGGATAAAGGCATTCAGCCCGTATTATCACATGCAGGATTCTATGTGGGCCATTCAGCTGAAATAGAAAATAGAAAATTTTGCTAGCATAGGAAGTACATGTAAGCTACATTTTGTCTGGAGTCATTCTGTGTACATCTCTCTATCTGGTGATGGTTTGCTCTGAGGATTTGCCCTGTGAATATCGATCCATCCACGTCCAGTCAGCACCAACCCATGTCAGGTATGTGAAGCTCATGGGGAGAGAAATGTATGGAGGAAATGGACCGTGAGCCAGGCATCCAAGAACAAGCAGTTCACAGGTGTATGACCTTCTATACTAGCGAACACATGGAGACATCTGAGCGTAGCCTGGGGAGACTGACAACGTCCCACCAGAGATGGGGTGGGTGGGGATGGGAGAAAGTGACAGCAGTGCCATCCTAGATTATAAGTGGCCCTGAATGCCAGATATCAGGATGGGGATTTGATCACATCATCCTGGATTCACCATCCACACCGATGGCATAGAGGAGTCTGGCCTGGGACATGTTGAGCTGAAGGTGGGAAGCAGGGAAGCATGGCAGAAAGGTATGGGCGGAGACCCTCACTCCTGCATCAGCTACCAGGCCTTCCCTGGGCTACACGGCCTCTTCTTTTTTTTTTTTTGTCAGTCATGGAGGCTGAACTCTGGGCCTGGGCGCTGTCCCTCAGCTCTTCAGCTCAAGGGTAGTGCCCTACCACTTGAGCCACAGTGCCACTTCCAGCTTTTTTCTGCTTATGTGGTGCTGAGGAATTGAACTCAGGGCCTCATGCATGCGAGGCAAGCACTCTACCACTGAGCCAACTTCCCAGCCCTATGCCTCTTAAACAGGAACACCCATATGGGTGGCCCAGAAGGCCATGAGTACATAGATGGTTTGGCTATTATGTCAGTTTCACTTACCGATTCCTAACACAGAAGAGTCAACACTAGCAGAAGACGGCAACCAATGAACCCTGAGGTCTCACACACTGGAGGTTCCCAGTCTTTTATAGGCAGGAGGGCCAGCGGTACCCCTCACTCCCTCTCCCCAACTTGCTCAGTCCAATGAGCCAGCGTCAGAGCTTCCTGCCTTCCAGGGGAAGGTTCCAGATAAAGCTCTGAAAGTCCTGACACCATGATCTGCCCCAATGAAGGAAGTGGTCCAAGGCCTGCACCACTTGGGAGGGAGGCTTGAGGCTGATCCCTAATGACCTCTCCATCTTGAATCTTATTTGGGGGAGCCTTGGTGTTGAAGCTGTTCTCCATGACAACACCAGTGCTAATGGGTGCAGGAACTCAGGAAAGCCTGGCTCCCTATGCTGGAGGACAAGAGTCTCCTTGTCCTACTCTCCCAGGTGGGCGTCCTTATTTCTTGCAAGGCAGTTTCCCCTGGCACCTCTGTGGATTCCCAAACTTGGGCAGTCAGGGATCCTTTCTGCTCCTCTCTGCCACTCCATTTCAACATTTACTTTGTGATTCCTATTCTCATGGCCACCTCTGCTTTGTCTGCTGAGGGAGAAGATACGAGGGCACAGCAGTTAATTTGAACAGAAATTCAATATTCGTCCTGTCCTTCAAGACAGGTTAGAAGGAAGAGAGCTTATGAAGACACTGCTGTCCTTTTCGCTTAGAAAAGAAATCTTGGGTGTCAGAGGGAGGGGTGAAAGGCGCAACACAGAATTTTTAGGGCAGTGAGAATACTACACATGATCTGGTAATGAAGGATACGTGTCTAGTACGATGGACTGTATAATAACAAGTGCAAATCCCAGTATAAACTATGGACTGGTATGATAATGATGTGTTCACTGTAACGAATGCCCTGCTCCAGTGTGGACATTGAGAAAGGCGTCTATGCGTATGGGGTAGGGATGTACATGGAAATCTCTGCATCTTCTTCTCAACTTTGTTGTGAATTTAAAACTTTAAAAAAATTCTCTCTCTCTCTCTCTGTATGTGATTGTATGACATTATCATGGAAGGGGACAGTAAGAATCTTTCCAGATGGAATTATTAATGATGTCTACATGTAATGAAAGTAAGAAAATGGATTTTCCTGAGAAACTAATATCCACATAATTTTCAATGTACATCAAGAGCTCCACCAGGCAGAGCGCTGATGGCTCATGCCTGTAATCCTAGCTACTTGGTAGGCTGAATAAAGGAAAATCATGATTTGAGGCCAACTTGAATAGAAAAGTTCACAAGACCCTTTCTCAAACCTTAACCAAGAATTGGTAGCACATGCCTGTCATCCTAGCTTCACAGGAAGTTAAGAATGGGAGGATTCTGGTTGCAGGATTGCCTGCACATAAATTTGTGAGACTCTGTCTGAACAGTAGAAGCTGGGCAGGGTAGTAGACACCTGTCATCTAGCTAAAGAAGTCTAAAATAGTTGGGTTGTGGGTCCAGGTACTCACATGGAAAGGAGACGAGAGTGTATCTCAAAAACAACCTGTGCAGAGAAGGGCTGGAGGCATGGCCGAAAAGGAGAGTACCAGCTTCGCAAGTACAAGGCCTTGAGTTCAAATCCATTCAACTGCCCCTCCCCCCAAAAAAACACTTACCTCTTCCTTTTCTGGACTATTCCTTGATTCCACCTCCACCTGCAGAGAAATGGTCTCTCCAATGCTCTTCCTCTTGGACAAGCGATCCTCATCTGGAAAAGAAGAAGTCATTAGCTGCTAGTGTCAGCCCTTGAAAAAGCCAGGATCGAGTCCCAGGCTCCAGGATCAAGTCCCTTGGCCTTGGCTTGGTCCACAGTCTTCAAAGCCTTGGTCCATGGTTAGACTAGACCTGGAGCTTTCTGTGGGCCCTCTCTGTTATCTTAGGGTGGTCAGTTTGCTCCTTTGGATTAAGGTTCTACAACCATTATTGCAAACAAAGAAGTTGCTGGTGACCAGAAAGCTTATCCCAACTTGCATAAGCATCATCTGCGAACAACACCAGTACTTTCCTAAGTGTGGCATTTACAAAGTGCTTTTTCCTTCCTTATTTTGTGGACCTCCCATATTAATCCTCTAACAGTCAAGGTAACTGAAATTCAGAGATGCCCAACAAACGGCCTAAGGTTTTTCAGGCAGTAAGTCTCACAGAGGTCCCTAACTAGGAGTTTGGTTTTGTAGCCCCCATATATGGTTCTTCTGGCACAATGGACCACCCTGTCCACAGGCCAGGCTATCTCCTTTCTAGGCTCTTGCACTGAGGAGAGGCCGAGAAACCAGGATCTCACCATAAATACGGCTGTGTCTTTCAGCTCTAAAGTGCCACAGTGAGTAATCAGGAGGCCTGTGGTCCTTTATTGGTCAGTAAAAGGCAGAGGCAGGTGTGACAGCCTTGCCCAGAGCTCATACCTGTCAGCTGCGGGATGTAGGGCAGGCAGAGCCTGTCTGAATTGTAGCCACTGCCCCCCAGGACTTCACTGATCTTGCTCTGGCGGAAGAGGAAATCGATGACCACGCTATCTAGATTCTGAGACAGCCTGGATGACAAAGGAGAAGAGAGCTGTGGGCAGCTGTAATGATTCCCTGATGACTTTTCTTATTAGGAAAGCCACATATTCATGAACAAAATAACAGAGAAACCAAAGGAAAAGAAATTCCCCCAATTCCAGAGATAATCGCTGTATTTATGCAGAATCTTGGGGTCATATATATTTATGTTCATGTACAAATATCCCCTTCCCAAACCCTGTTCTATGACGGGTATTTTCTACTTTTTGGGGGGGTCGGTTGTAGAGTTTGAACTCTGGGCTTGGGTGCTGTCCCTCAGCTCTTCAGCTCAAGGTGAGCAGAAGTGAGCCACCGCGCCACATCCAGTTTTCTGGTGGTTAGTTGGAGATGGAATCTCACCGACTTTCCTGCCTGAGCTGGCTTTAAACTGCGATCCTCAAATCTCAGCCTCCTGAGTAGCTAGGATTACTGGTGTGAGCCACCGGCGCCCAGCTTATCCACTTATTGTATAATGAATATGTGGAATCATTGCTAATATTATTTGCCAGTTATTTATTATATGAATGGACCATAATTTAGAAAGTTAAGCTCTACTTTGGACACCTTGATTTTTCTACATATCTTTTCCTTGAGGTCCTCGGATGTTGAAGCAATTCTGAGAATGTCAGCAGGACACTGTCAGGAGCAGCTCCTCCAGGACACATTTTCCATCCATTTCCCATGGGTTTGGCCAAAGCTCCCAGAGGTGGAATCACAACATTTGCAGCATAACCCTCCAGCCTGGCTTATAGGGGTCTGCTCATGGGGTGAGTTATAGTAATGGGCTGGAGTCCAACTCTGCTAAAGACTTTAGAGCCATTGACAGTATTTTTTTTTTTTGCCCTGGATCCTCACAAGGGTCTATGCTTCTTGCTGGGCGGTCCCTCCTGGCCTCATAGTACCCGACCTCCTCCTCACCTGTCTTGGAATAACTTCCCCAGCAGACCCCAGGTGCTCGCTTACCTGGGTCTCTCTACAAACACATCCTCAGGGAGCATGTATGGAGCCTCTTTCTTTCTGGTCTCGATCACCTGGAGTTTGAGAGAAATCAAATAGTGAGAGCAGGGTCCATCAGGATGAGGAAAGCCAGAACAGCTACCCAAAGAGCTGTCACCCCAGTAGCAGTGTTTCTTCCCTCCCACAGCCTCACTGGAGAGCGCACTACAGCCAGGCTTCTCCAGTGAGGAGCAGCTCCCCTGCCCCGCTCAGAGCAGTCCGGGAAGCCCAAGCTGCCCGTGCCACCACTATGGCACATATACATAGAGTGCCCTCCAACAAACAACATTTCACTCCTAAGAAACTATGGAAACACCCAAGGGACAGTGATACATTGAGATTTCCTCAGCATCTCTGCAAGTTTTTGGAGAGAAAAGTAAAAGTTACTAAGGTGGGGAGAAGTGGGGAGATGTTGGCCTATAGGTACACAGGTGTGCTGTGTACAACAATACGACCAGTTTCTGATAGCATATCTGGGCATTGCCCTTGCATTCTATTAGCTCAGAGGCTCAGGTCAGTCCACATTCTTTTTTTTTTTTTTTTGGGTCCGGTCATGGGGCCTGAACTCTTGGCTTGAGCACTGTCCCTCAGCTCTTCAGCTCAAGACCAGCGCTTTACCACTTGAGCCACAGAGCCACTTCTGGCTTTTTTCTTTTTGCTTATGTGGTGCTGAGGAATCGAACCCAGGGCCTCGAGCATGCACGGCAAGCACTCTACCACTGAGCCACCTTCCCAGCCCAACACACATTCTTGGTGTAATTCCTGACATGGTAACAGAGCACCCTTTCCACCATTTTCCCAGCCAGCCTAGGTCCGCTGAGGTCTTTCTTTTGGTTTATTTCATCTTGCTAGTATAATTTAATTGCAGACATCAGATCATTCTACCTATAAATACGTCAGGTTTTTTTTTAATGTGCTGGGACCTGGGACTTGAACTCAGGACCTGGGCCTGGGCACTGTCCCTGAGCTGCTTTTGCTCAAGGCTTGTACTCTACTACTTGAGCCACAGTACTACTTCTGGCTTTTTCTGTTTATATGATTCTGAGAAATCGAACCCAGAGCTTCATGCATGCTAGGCAAGCACATTATCACTAAGCCACATTCCCAGAATCCCCTCCCTTTTTTTGGTGCTAATTTGGAAATAAGAATTTCATAGACTTCCCTGTCTGGGCTGGCTTTGAACTGTGATCCTCAGATCTCAGCCTCCTAAGTAGTTAGCATTACAGGTATGAATAGCTAGTACCCAGCTACTTCAGCATGTTTTATTTATGAAACACTGTGAGCATTGGACTACGGTAGACTGGGTTAAAAATCACATCATGCATGTTTTGTTTTTGTGCCAGTACTTAGGCTTGAACTCAGGACCCTCTGCTCTTACTTTTTTCTTCTTCTCAAGACTGGTACTCTATCACTTGAGCCACATCTCTATTTTTCAGAGTCTGACATTTTAATTGGCTATACAACCAGTGTAGTGGTCATTAGGGAGGTGCCCATGTTGTGGCTTATTTTTTTGTTTCACTTTTCAAACTGATATATGGAGGATGTACCAACAGAGCTAGGATTTGTTTTAAAACATTTCAGCAAAGGAAAAAGCTGCAACAGATGCAAAAAATCTTCCTAAGTGTCTTCATTAGCCATCTGCACAATGGCTAATGGATGTTTACTGGTCTGCTCATGTTTTTGTGGTATTTGAGAGCTTTTGTGGCAAAAACTCTTCTTGTGTTTTTTGTTGCTTTGTTGCTCATGGTGCTTGAACTCAGGGTCCAGGGCACTGTCCACTGAGCATTTTTGCTCAAGGTTAGTTAGCTCTCTCACTTTGAGCTACAGATCCATTTCTGTTTTTCCTGGTGGTTAATTGGAGAGAAGAGTCTCACAGACTTTCCTATCCAACGCTAGCTTTGAACCCCAATCCTCAGATCTCAGCCTCCTGAGTCGCAAGGATTACAGGCATGAGCCACAAGTGCCTAGCTTGTTTTGATTTTTTGAGATAGGGTCTCACTATGTTGCTAGACTGGCTTCAAACTTACAACTCGCTGCTTCGGTCTCCTAAGTAGCCGAGGTGCAAGTATGTATCACCATGCCTAGCCAACAGTTATTAAGTGTCTGTAGTCTACATGACCTGAGGCTTGTATACTGTGTGCTTCTGTGAGGGGGAGAAGACACAGGGCAGTCAGCAGGTACCAGGTATTCCCCGGGCCTGGCCCTACCTTGCTCTGTCATACCTGACGGGAGGAAATGCAGTTTCTGTCATTAGTTCTACCTCAATCCTATCTTCAATGTCTAAGTATAGTACTGTCAACAATTAGGAAAGAGGAACCCAGAGCCTCAAATCGAGGGCCTGAGCTCTCAGGATCCTGAGCTCCCCAGGATACGGACCTCGTGGATGTGCTGGCAGAAGGCAGGCACCGTCGTGAGCTGGCTGATGAGGTTCAGGTAGGCTGCACCCAGGGCATAGAGGGCACAGCGGTTGTATGTAGGCAAATTCTCTTCGTTGACCTGGGCCACGTCCTGTACCAACACAGAGGGCTTCTAAAAATTTTAACCACCGAACTACCTGAGATTTCCCACTGCTCACCCAGCCTCTCCCTGATCTTCTGTAGAGATGGCTAATGTTTTCTAGACCCTCTTTCTCAGCCTTCGCCCTAGGACTTCCTAGGAGACAAAATTCCTCAGATGAAGAAGGCAATGGTCCCCAGAACAATTCATGAGCAGGAGGTCCTTCAATGAGCATAAAGCATGACTCCACTTCTACCCATCACCTTAGCACCACAATGGCTGCCTATGAATCCCAAGAGGCTAGTTAAATGCATAGGACATTGTGTGTGATGTGTGTGTGTGTGTGTGTGTGTGTGTGTGTGTGTGTGTGTGTGTGTGTGTGTGGCCAGTGCTGGGACTTGAACTCAAGGCCTGGGCGCTGTCCCTGAGCCTCCTTGTGCTCAAGGTAGCGCTCTACCACTTGAGCCACAGTGCCACTTCTGGCCTTTTCTGAGTAGTTTATTGGAAATATGAGTCTCATGGACTTTTCTGTGCAGGCTAGCTTCTAACCATGATCCTTAGATCTCAGCCTCCTGAGTAGCTAGGATTACAGGCATGAGCTCCTAGCACTCAGCTGGGAATATGTATTTTTTTATCACATGCTCAAGGCAATTCCAAAGAACAGTTAAGTTTAAAAACCAGAGAATCCTTAGACAAAGAAGTCTGTTCTGAGATCAGTCAGGGCCCTTGCACCCTTTTAGGAATCCTTTCAGTCTCTCTTTGATCCTATAAGGACCTGAAACCCTAGGATGGTCCTATTGCCTAACTCGAAGGTAATCCATGGCCATGAATGCTATGATTGACATTAGTCAATCTCTGTGGTACACTAAGCAATCTCTTGGGCTAATTATTCAATCTCTGGGGTTTCCCAGAAAGACCACTTTGGGGTCTTCATAGAGGGATAGCCAAGAGTACCACATTCTTGGACTCTAAACCAATGGTCAAGCAATTCATACTCAGTATTGGTATCAGGGCTTAGCTCACCGGCCCTCTCTCCCTGCTCCTAACCCATATGTCCTTGTCCATATCCAGCCCCACCTGCACAGCCAGCACCAGGCGGATGAGGTCCACTACCACCTCCTCATTGGCCAGCTCGATGCTGATGAGTGCCAGCAGGCCGTAGAGTGCCTCATAGTGCTTCTGTATGTTCGTGTCCTCTTTACAGCTCAGGTAGATGTGCCTGTAGAGCTGCTGTGAGTGCTGGGGACAGGAGTGGGGGCAGAAGACAGCCATAGTGAGTAGGGTGGGGTCAGGAGAGGCAGGAGAATGAATACGAAGACTGATCTGAAGGGGGTTAGGATGGCAGTGAGTACTCACCTCAGAGATGCCAGCCATGGATGTGAATCCATACGGAAACACATGTTTAGGGATAAAGGGCCCCAGTGATACTGGCTACCAAGCTTCTGCCTGAACTGTGTTGGGAGCAGAACATGGATGATGGCTCTGGACTGGCCCTCAAGGTTCATTCCTGGCTCTGGTCTTGGCAGTGAGTATCACCCCTCTGGAAGGTGAAGCTGGCTAGCCTCACCAGGCAGTTACAGAGGGAAGGGACAGACTCTGGGGGCAGTGACGGTCAGCTGTGACTTAGAAGCTAGAAGGTGAGGGCCACAGGCAGGCCTGGCCCTCCCGGGGATCACTGTATCAAGGTCACTCTTGCTTACCTTCTTCATGAAGACTGTGTCCTGTCGGGAACATTTGTCCACTTTCAGCTTCAGGACTGAGATGTCACTGAGAGTACTGGAGGGGGATAGAAGGAGACGCCCCGCCCCACCCCCAGCCCTTGTGTGAGGCAGCCTGAGTTTACATGGTGTCACAAGGCTTTATCTTCAATGTTATAACTTGACATCAAAGCCTCCTAGTACTCCCTGGGTCTGGTTCTTAGATCAATCTCCATTTTTCTCCCAAATTGCCAAGTTCCTATTTAACAGTTGACCTTGGTTATTCCTTCTCCTTAGACTCTCTACCCCCAATCCTCTCTGTCTCTACTCACTAACTGCCCTTTTCTTCTCCTACTTGAAAACTTCATTTAGCTTTTCCTTCTTTAAATCTCTAATTCACTCTCCTCCTCCAGACACAAGTACCCTTTGGTTCCTCTTCCCCTGGGAGGATCCCGAAGTCAACTCCATGGTCCACACCCTGGTGGGTCTTATTTAATCTGAACTGTTTCCTTCCAACTGGTTGTGAGGCTACAGGCCAAGAAGACAGGCCCCACCGGGAGTCATCTGGCCTGTCATATATCTATTAAAGGAGAGACTCCAAGTTCACCTGATGGTAGAGAACTTGTGGCGGTTGCCATGACGATCAATGAAACTGATGAGAATCTCTAGAACGAAGAGACGGATTTCTGCATCCTCCATGAGGGCAGTGGAGAGAAGGCGGTCAAGGAAGTTGCTAGGCAGGGCTGACATCATGTTATTGCATTGGAAGCCTGTGGAGACCTGCAAGGGACAGGTGCATTTAGGAACATTGTCTCCTTTGTGTTCAGTGAAGAAATGGAGAAGCAATCAGAGGAAGTTGGTATAAGAATATCTATCCTTCCTAGATTACAACCCAGGTTCTTCTCCCTACTTCCCTCTCAGACCCTAGATGTCAACCACTTTTGCCAACAACTTCAACAGTCACCTAGACATCTACGCAATGAACTCTGTAGACATGTAAACAAGGTGCAGGGACATCAGACATCAAAAGCATCAAGGAGTGAGCATTAATTAGAAAGAAAAGAGCCAGGAGATTTCTGGACCTAAGGCGCAACTGATGAACACCCACCAAATGCTTCGTTAAGAGTAAGACAGTCACAAGAGAAGTCACCAGTCACTTCCACAAGTCACTGTGGAAGAACGAATCAAAGCACACATGGCCACAAGCAGAGCCCACACTGACCACCTCTGGCTACAACGCCTCTAGTATGGTGACAATGGGGCCTTCTGACTTTTCACATGGCATAGAAACATCATATATGATTTCAAAATATCCACTAGTAGTAAGCTTATTTGCTATTTAGGTTCATATTGCAGAATAATGCCTTTGATGATTGGGAAAGCTTCCCAAAGGGCTGGGCTATAGTTTAGAGGCCAGCCTCCAGCCTGGACTACATCTTGAGCCCATCTCGAAGAGCAAGAAAACCAAAGTAACAATGGCAATAACAATATCCCACTCCCTGAACGCCTCCACAAATCAAGCTCGGTATAAGAGCACCAGTAGTGAACATCAGTGTTCATAGAAGAGAGATACACATAACTGTGCCCCAAACTGTCACCAGAGTTTGACAACTGGCTACAAATTAATAAGGGAAATTTTAGCAAATATAAAGACTGAGGAGAAAAGTAGATGTCTAGATGAGATGAACTGGAACAAAAGGGCTTTATAAAAATTGAGTGACAGAGAGAAGAGATATAGCTCAGTTCAGTAGTAGAGTACCTTGCCTAGCATGTGTGAAGGCCTAGGTCCAATTCCTAGCACTACCAACCAAACCAAAGAAGCAAACAAAACACCAACAGTCAGTGAGGTGGCATCGGTCGCTCATGCCTGTATTCCTAGATACTCAGGAGGCTGAGTATCATGGTTCAAAGCCAGCTGTGGCAGGGAAGTTCCTGAAATTCTTATCTCCAATTAACCAGCAAAGAGTCAGAAGTGGAGCAGTGGCTCAAGTGGTAGGTAGAGCATCAGCCTTGAGTGAAAAAGCTAAGGGACTGTGCCCAGACCCTGAGTTCAGTCTCCAAACTGGCCCCAAAACAAAATAAAAAGCAACACAAAAAACCAAACAGCCACAGTGACATAAAAGGTACAGACTAGAGAAAAGAAAGGGAAGGCACTGGTGGAAGCGAGGGTCTGTCCAGGCTGGCATGGGGGAACAGTGATGAGATGGAGTCAGGAGAAAAGGGGTCCTTTCACTTTTGTTCTGAGAGGTCTGAAATCTGGATTTTCAGGCATTAGAAATAGACCTACCCTAAAAATAGGGGATCAGAATTTCTAGAAAATTCTTCTTGTGGTTTTGTTAATGATTGGGAAGAGATGGAAACAAGAGTGACTATGAGAATAATCTAGTTGTAAGATGTCCAGAGCTTAAGCTAGGGCTGGGCGTTAAGAATAGCTGGGGAGCTGGTAACACAGATTGCATCTCCTTCCTCTGACTAGCCACTCACAATCTCTAGGAACCCTATATATTTTAACCAGATTCTCCTGGGAGTGGTGTTTGAGAACAATGGATCTAGACCCCAGTGATGGCTGTAGAGGTACAGAGAAGAGGCATTGAACACACACTTGAAGGCCAGGAGCCGGTGGCTCACACCTGCAATCCTAGCTACTCAGGAGGCTGAGATCTGAGGAGCATGGTTCAAAGCTAGCCTGGGCAGGAAAAGTCCGTGAGACTCTTATCTCCAATAAACCAGAAAACTGGAAGTAGTGCTAAGGCTCAAATGCTATGGCACTCGCCTTGAGCTGAAGAGCTGAGGGACAGCACCCAGGCCCTGAGTTCAAGCCCCATAACTGACAAAAAAAGAAAAAGAAAAAAGAAAACACACATGGAGTGACAACTGGCAGATGAGATGGGCACAGTGCCAAAAGAGTAGCAAGAAACAGAGAGAGCTAGGACCCAGGGAGGGAGTGCTGCAAGGGGAAAAGGGCTGGAACCAACAGTTTCCATCCTAAGACACACAGGGTTTGAGTGACAGGGCTACTGTTAGCCAATAAGGAAGCTTTGTGGGAATCAGAAACATTAGCTGCCTACCCTGCTCTGGATGACCCAGTTGTGTCGGTGCCCAGGCTGGCTAGCAAGTGAAGCACAGGCTAGATTTCAGCCCTTCACTTGCTTTTTAGGCTGGGCATATTTGCCATATGAAGCCTGCATAACTGGATGAGGGGGGCTTCTCTTGGTCCCCTGGAAGGAGTTGTGTCCCGCAGAGGCAGAACAGGAATGGGGACAGGAGAGGCTCACCTGCAGGAGGGACTTCAGCAGCATAATCTGAGTCAGCCGGTTCCGATTCTCCCTGTAGATCAGAGACATGCACACAAACCAGGAAAGCCATGAGGCCAAGACTCCACACCGGCCTACTCAATTCTCTCTCACCAGGCCTATCTCATTGGGTTTCCCAAGACAGTGACTTCCAGGCCCAGTGGGAGTGAAAGGGCAGCATGAGAAACTATTGAGGGATCCAAGGACACTACTAATGTCCACGAAGGATTTGGGAGGAAAAAGTGAAGAAGTCAAGAAGAGAAGAACCAGAAACACAGCAAGGGAAAAGTGGGGTGGTTTAGGTTGGGGGGGTACTCACCCTGTCCTTCCAGTCTCTATGGGGTGATGTAGGGAAGGCAGCGGGACCTTGCTCATGATGAAGAGGATCACTTCAGAGCGCTGATAAGTGGGCAGGGTGCTGGCAAAAGAGCCTGCGGGGAAAGGATGACTGAGATCATTGGTTAGGTGAGGGACCTCCAAGCTCATTCTGTCTCTCTAGGAAGGAGACAGAGGGTTCCAGAGGGCCTTTCCACTTTGGTTCCTTCACTTGTCACTGAGGCTGTGGGTAGGATCTGGACATCATGTGGATGAAGTGTGCACCATAGACAGACTCTGTCTTCCCCAATGCCCCTGGTAACAGGTATACGTTTGACAATCCTAGAGTTGCGCTCCCCACCCCTGTCCTTCTACTGGGTCTCATCCCAGATCTCTCTGCTCCTGCCCATACATAGTCTTTACTCAGGACCTGGGCCCTTGGTTCTTCCAGACCAAGCCCCCAGGCCCATCTCCAAATCCCACCTAGGGCCCCACCCTCTTCAAGACCACCCTCCCCCCACCAAGTCCCTCTCCAAATCTACCCAGGATTCCACCCCCTCCAAGACCACAGTCCCTAGGCCCCTCTCCAAACCCACCCAGGATACCCCTCTCCTAGTCCACCCCCTGACCCTTCTCCAAACCCACTCAGGGCTCCACCCCCTCCCAGTCCCCGCCCACGGCCCCGCCTTCCTCCCCACCAATGGTCTTGATGACAGCCTCCTGGAACATGCGCTCCTCATGCTCCTTGATGATCTTGGTTCCGAGGCTCATGGCGCCATCGTAGCTCCCAGTCAACGCATAGTCGATGCTGAGCCGCAGCTGCCTCAGCAGGGTGTTGAACATCTCCAGCACCGTGGGGCCTGGGGCAGTGGGAGAGCTGCAATCAGGGCGGGCACCCCCTCCTGCTCCCCTACCCCAGCAGTCCGGTGACTGCCTGCCACCTCCTCAGCCGGCTGCTTCGGAGGATCTCTCGCCCATTTCCTCTCTCGGGTCCCTCGCCTAGTTCATAAAGGAGGGCAGTTCTGCACCCACTGGGCCCCTTACCAACAGAGCCGGTGGCGGCGATGACCGCAGCTTCGGACAGGACCTCCACGATACCTGCACGCACGGTCGCCGCACTGCGGCTGTTGGCGTCCAGGTGGCTCAGGAGCTGCTGGATAACCAGGTGTGAATGCTGCGGCTGCGGGAAGGAAGACGTGCCGGTCCCCAAACAGCCCCGCGTGCTGGGGCACCTCTGCTGGACCCGGAGGCCAGGGGTAGAGTGATGTCCACAGCCAGTGGGCACTGCAGTGGGCACCCATACCACTGACCCCCACCCCTCCGTGGGCTGAGAGTCAACTCCCAATAAACCCGTGTTTCCACCTTCTTCTTGGTCCCTTTTATTTGGAAGGGGCCAAAAGTCCACTTCAAAATACTGTTTTCTTTTTTATTTCCCCCGGGGCCCCAGGTCTTCCTGGCCAGGGCCTTAAGAGGCCATGTGTTTTTTTAGTGCGGTGCTGCTCAGTGTGGCCGCGGACCAATGCCGATTCAAAATTTGTTTGATAGTGTTTACACAAGTGAGTTCAGAACTAGAATGCTAGGATGTAATAATTAACAACACTGCAGCAGCCAGGGGTGTGCTGTCTAAGGGCTCTTGTAGTAGCTGTTGTGTGTTTGTTTGCCAGTCCTGGCGCTTGAACACTGGCCTCTCTATGCTCAAGGCTAGTGCTCTACCTCTTGAGCCACAGCATCACTTCTGGCCTTTTCTGTTTATGTGGTACTGAGGGATTGAACCCAGGGCTTCATGCATGCTAGGCAAGCACTCTACCACTAAGCCACATTCCCAGCCCAGCTCTTGTATTTTGTAAGTTCTTTCTTTTCTTTTGTGCTGGTACCTGAACTGGGGGCCTCACCCTCTTTCCCTTGGCTTTTTTGTTCAAGCCTGCCACTCTAACACTTGAGCCATACCCCCATTTCTGGCATTTTGCTGGCTAATTGGAGAAAAGAGACTCAAGGATTTGTCTTCCAGGGCTAGCTTTGAACCCCAATCTTCACATCTCAGCCTTCTGAGTAGCTAAGATTATAGGTGTGAGCCATTGTCACTTGGCCAGTTCTTCATTCTTTTTTAAAAATTGTTTTTGATGAAAGTATTAGTCTATGATGTTCTAGAAGCAAAACGAACTGGCTCTTCTTCACACTTAGCTGGAGCAGCTCCAGTTTAGGACCAGTCAGGGGACATCTAGCTTCCTACTTTAGAACACTGCTCTCTCTGTTCCCAGAGGTACCCTTAGTGAGGGGGGGGGCAAACTGGGACCAGGGGAGCCACAGTACCTGAATTGAGTACATGATGATTTTAAAGCAACGGATGGCAAACACCTTGGGCTCCCAAAGAGAATGGTTATCCAGATGGCTGTGAGGGAAAAAAACACGGGGATGACTGAGGAACTCAGAGAGCCATTAGGGAGAGGTAAGCTTGGAGGGACAGTGACACCTCTTAAGAGCACCTTGCAGTTCCCAGGGAAGTAAGAGAGGCAGGGCTTTCTGAGTGGGTGAGAGAAAGGAATCATGGAGGATCTCAGGGAAGCCCTAGGCTCCCTCCAAGGCTGGAGGGAGCTGCATCATGGAATGAAGCTGGACACCTTCATTTCATTTGGGTGCCCTCCTCCCAACCTCTCAACTCCAATGCATGTGGCTACTGTGATAACTTCACTGTCATAATGCAAATGTGTAATGGGAACCCTGGCACAAAAAAAAGAGGCTCTCTTGATCACAGCACAATAGTTTGATTCCTTTCTTACTACTCCTAAGTCATCAGAAAATGCAGGGACCTGGAGCATTTGAAGGCTGAAGACTGCTGTGAGAGGGACCACTTAACTCACATGAGAACAGGCTTGATGGCATTCTTGATATTGCCAAAGGCAGCCCGGCCCAGCAGCTCCCGCAGGCACCTCTCAGCCAGCTCTGCTGGGTTCTCCTTTTCCTTCTCTGGTGCTTGGAGGGGTGAGGGAGAACGGCTGTGGAAACAAAGCCACATGGGTGAAGGATGCAGTGCACAGCGGGGAGCCGGTCTGATTCTATGCAGGACAAGCAAGAATTTCACACAGGCTGCACCAGGCAGCATGGAGACATCATGGCTGCCAGAAATTGAACCAGGAGAAAGAAGCCTAGGATGGGGGAAGACTGGGGGAGATGGGATGGAATTCCTTCTCTGAAAATCTTTAAGACTCGGCTGGCATGCCCCTGTGTGAGGACATTTTGAGCACCGTGGCCAGGTGCAGCATACATCATGAGCATCTCCACACACTGAAGGGTTCAATAGGAGAAAAGATGGGATATACAGAGAGGGAAGAAAGGCTAGGGGGTGAGAGGAAGGAAAGACACAGCCAGGCTCAGGCATGACCCAATGGTACTCAAGTCACTAAGGGTATTCCCAGATCTGGACCAGAACAAGGAGCCCCAGAACTCCCTGACTTGGAACCATAAGAGACCACAGTGGGAAACAGATTGGTAGAGACAGAATGTGGGCTAACAAACGGCTATTCCAGAAACATCCACCAGAGGGAGAGCTTACTTCCTCTGTCAGTCTGGCAGCAGGGACCCAACTGACCGCAATGAGAACCACGGGTAGAACACATCTTTATTGGGCATCATGCACAGAGCCAAGTTGGGGCACCAACATGAAAATTCCCTCCTTCGGAAGTGGTGCTGTGGTTCAAGCGGTAGAGCGCTTGCCTTGAGCTGAAGAGCACAGGGACAGTGCCCAGGCCCAGAGTTCAAGCCCCACGATAAACCAAAAAAAAAAAAAAAAAAGAAAGAATATTTCCTCCTTCCCATTCCACTGGGGGGAAAGTAGTAGCAGGAAGAAAATGAGTTCCATGACTAACATCTGCAGCTCTTGAATGGCTGTGGCTGGTCAAGCAGTTGTGTTTTGAGGCCTAAAATAGTATCAGGAAGTGAGGGAGGAAGGAGGTCTAAAGGGAAAGTCCTCAGTCCTTGAAGTCATGAGAGATAACATCAACTTCCTCAGCCTGCTGCCTCCCTAGAGACAAGGGTAAGCTGACTCTTGGTCCTTTGTGTTTTGATCAGCACGTACTTATTCCCAGGGAGCCGAGCATCATTACTGTCCTTGCTTCCTTAGGGCTACAGTAGCGGGCAGGAGGTCATACCCAATGTCCCCCGGGAGCTAGCTCTGGACTCACTGCAGAAAAATCACAAAGCTATGATCCTTGGCTGTAGCTAGGTTTTACCTTCTAGTCCACATTATATATTTTGTTTTATTTCTTCTTTCTCTCTCTGTGTGTGTGTGTGTGTGTGTGTGTGTGTGTACATGTGCGCTCGCATGCACATGCACACAATTCTGATACTGGGGCTTGACCGCAGGGCCTGGGGCACTGTCCTTGAGCATTATCACTCAAGGACAGTGCTCTACCACTTTAGACACAGTTCCACTTTAAGCATTTTTTGGTTAATTGGAGATAAGAGTCTTGAACACTTACAGCCTTTCCTGCCCAGGCTGGCTCTAAACCATGATCCTCATATCTCATTCTCCCGAGTAGCTAAGATTGCAGGCATGAACTGCTGCTGCTGATGCCATGTGTTTTCTAGTGGCCTGGAGGAGAGTCTAGATATGTCCTGGCTAGCTTACCTCTCTGCCTCCTCCACGTGCTGTAGGTTGAAAAGCAGAGATGGGACAATCTTGTCCATGTGCTGTGGGTCCCAGATGTTCGCCTGTAACTCATCATTCACAGTCTTCCTCACCACCCCTTGCAGACCTTTGATGCCTGACATTCGGATTCTGTAAGGCAAGGGTAGAATGGCCTGATGAAGTCCTTATGTCCTGTGAAGAGCAGCTCTGCAGCCTGGCTAGAGAGGGGTACAGCCCGGGGGCAAGGGCCACACTCGTCCACCTACTTCTCCTCACAGGTTTGACTTGCTGGTTTGCGTCCTAGCTTGTCTTGGAGACTCTCAGACTGCCTTTGCCCTGGTACCACCAGGCTCCAATCTAGTGTGCTGGTTGCACCATCCTCAGTACTAAGTTAGATTTGCTCCATTATAGGTCTAAGACAGTGCACTCAGGCTGAGTCTACTCAGGGCTTGGAGCTGCAGGCTCTCCAGGCACAAAGGGGTTGAGGCTAGGGATAGACTGGCTAAGAAACCAGAGCAAAATCCAGTAATAGCTCCCTGGGTTCTTTTACTGCCACCATGTGCTGGCCCACAGGAAGAGTCTTTTTTACCACTCATTTATTTCAGCCTAAAGTTCCTTTATTCTAAAAACATTTCTGATTATAAAGCAATACATGCTCATTCTAAAAGGTAAAGGGAAGAAAAAAAAATGCCCTCACCATTATCACTCATTGTCAGGCACAGTGACTCAGGCCTATAATCCTACTGAAGCTACTTAGAATGCAGAGATTAGGAAGCTGAAGATTCAAGGCCAGCCTGAGAAAAAAGTTTACAAGGCCCCATCTCAACCAAGACAAAATTGGGCACAGTGGTTGTGTCTGCTATGTGAGAAGCATAAATAAGAGGATCATGGTTTAGGCTAGCATGGGCATACACATGAGACCCCATTTTAAAAAAGAACTAAAGTAAAAGACTGGGGTGTAGCTCAAGTGGTAGTGCACTGTAAATGCAGGTCAAACCCAGTATTAATCAACAAACATTACCACCATTGGCCTCTTGGCATCTTTCCTTCATATAATATATAACAGAATTGGGAAACTCCTGTATATTTAATGTGTATTGGCTTCCCCCCCCCCATAACATTGTCATAAGCATTTTTCTATGCGATTAACACTTCATACATATGTTGGATGGTTGTATGATGTTACCATGAGAACTTTCTAAACTAAGTCCATACAGGTCATTTAAGTTGCTAATTTTATATTTTGTATTATAATAATACTGGTGGCTGTGGGAATGAGCGAGCAGGAGGGTCAAGGAGACAGAGGGAGGGAGGCAGCAGGGAACAGCCAGTGTGACCACCTTTGCTGGTAGGTGTAGATTAGACTGGATACTGGTGAGTGTATAAATGCCTATACATCTGAGCAGAGGAATGAATAGCGTGTGTGTGTGTGTGTGTGTGTGCGCGCGCGCTCATGTGTGTGCTTTGTTTCAAATTAGGTTCAAGCAAACTTTAGTTTAGATCTTGTCTTGTTTACTGGTCCAAAAGGTTTTTCCTTCAAAGCCATATATCAGGGGCCCTAGCTGCTCATCACCCACCCATCCACAGCCAGTCAACACCCCTTTCTCTCTAGCAACACAGAGCAGAAGGAAAGCTATGGAAAGAAGAAAGCAGACAGGCCAGCCTAGGCTGGAAGGTCTCTAAGACCCCTTTATACTTTGGCTGTGCGGCAAGCAGGCCCTCACAATCCCCTACTCACTTAGTCTTGATTTCCAAGTCATCGTGGCTGGAGTGGCACATTTCACTGAAACGGGACACAAAGAAGTCATAGCTCCGATGGTAAGATGGAGTGTCCTCCTCGATGTTGGCGAACTTCACGAACTGTGGGAAGGAGAAAGAATAGGTAGGACAGGTAATTTCTCCACTCCTTACTTCTGAGGATCCCCAATGCCTGTTGTAGAAAAGAATGCCCCAGGCATCCTGGGATAAGTTCCTGGCTGCCTCCCAGAGCATAGTCCTGAGCTCTGAGTTCAAGTTCTGCTCAGCTGCAATGATCACTTTCCCATCTGAGGGGAGCAAAGGAAGGAAGAGAAGGGAAATGAGGGGGTCTCTCTCTTCCATACAGGACTGCACAAAACTACATGGCTGAAAGGCTGTGGGAAAAATACTGACATTGAACAAAAACCAGGGTCAGTGCTTGGAGCCCCACACAGAATGGATTATCTCAGATACAAGATCAAATATGAAATTTGATTTGCAAAATATAATTTTAATTTATTGTTGGAAGTGTGTGGGTAAATGTTTCAAGTTTGCTATTTTCACTGTAGTTGGTCTTGACCAGCAATCCTAATTCTGAGTTCCAATGTGCTGCATGTTCAAAATTCTAAAAATCAGGTCCTGCAGAGGTGTGAGTATCCCAAGGTAAATGGGGAAAAACCACTAGTGTCAAATTCTATAAATTTTCAAAATTTTAAAATGCAGTATCCCAAATAACTCTTTTTCTTTCTTTCTTTTTTGAGGGTCGTGGTGCTTGAACTCAGGGCCTGGGCACTCTCCCTGAGTTTCTTTTGCTCAAGGCTAGCTAGCACTCTACCACTTGAGCCACAGTACCACTTCTAGCTTTTTCTGTTTATGTGGTACTGAGAAATCAAACCCAGAGCTCCATGCATGCTAGGCAAGCACTCTACCACTAAGCCACATTCCTAGCCCTCAAATAACTTTTGTTGTTGTTGTTGTTGGTGGTGGTGGTGGTGGTCATAGGGCTTGAACTCTGGGCCTGGGCGCTGCCCCTGAGCTCTTTTACTCAAAGCTAGTGTTCTAACACTTGAGCCACAGTACACTTCCAGTTTTCTGGTCGTTTATTGGAGATAAGAATCTCATGAGTTTCCTGCCCGGGCTGGCTTTGAACCTCCATCCTCAGATCTCAGCCTCCTGAGTAGCCAGGATTATAGGCATGAGCCACCAGTGCCTGGCCCAAATAACTCTTAAAGAGATCAGATTAATAATAAGTTATAGTCTGTTATTCTGTCATGGATTATTATGTTTTCCCTAAAAGTATATGTTTTAATTGAAATGACATTTTTTTGTTTGCTTGCTTGTTTATGTGGACTGAGGAATTGAACCCAGGGCCTCATGCATGATAGGCAAGCATTCTGCCACTGAGCCACATTCCCAGCCAGTATGCTTGTTTTAAAAGGATGTATGATTGCTCACACCTCTAGTTGTAGCTATACAGGAGACTGAGATCTGAAAATTATGGCTCAAAGCCAGCCTAGGCTCAGTCCATGAGATTCTTATCTTCAATTAATCAGCAAAAAGCTGTAAGTAGAGCTGTGGCTCAAGTGGCAGATCACCAGCCTTTTATGAAAAAACTAAAGGACAATGCCCAGGCCCTGAGTTCAAGCTAGTACCTGCATAAAACAAACAAAAAAAGGATGCACAACTCTTCCTATAACTTTTATATTTAGTGTTGAGTGTCAAATTTACTTACAAGGTGTTAACTTTTCCTAGATGTAAATTAGTAGCTTCCATTAACACAATTAATTTTTATGGTGTTTTTTTTCCTTGTAACTATAAATAGTTACCTCCCAGTGACTGATAGATTCTCAACACAGAAAGCATATAAGGAGATCTTGTATCCCAAGCTAAAATGTATGCATACATGTATTTGAGAATGAATTTTCTGGTCCCAGCAGTAAATGCAATGACACTGCTCGCATTAGTGATGTTCATGGTGGAGGCACAGTAGTGATCTATGTGATCACTGTGCACTAAGTATGCACAGGCTCAGGAGTTCCAGAAGCGAGGGTGAAGGAGGCCTTCCTAAGCCAAGTCTAAGACCAGAGATTCAGCAGACACCAAGGCTAAACCCAAACTCCAATGCATTGCTGCTATAACCACTCAGGTCATTCCCAGGCTACCTATCACAGCCCCGGGCTGGCCCTATCAGGGTATCCATCCATACTGAGGATCTGTAGCTATAGTAGCATCTCGCTGCTGTTCTAGCTCTGATCTTTGACATTTAAGTTCTTTCATGTTTTGCTTTCCCTATAAAACAAACAACCCCATCTTCACTGGTGTCAATCACTTCAAGGGTTTTATGTGTGCACGTGTTGTGTGTGTGTATATGTGTGTGTGTGTGTGTGTGTGTGTGTGTGCTAGTCTTGAACTCAGGGCCTGGGCACTGTCCCTGAGATTTCTTTGCTCAAGGCCAGCACTCTACCATTTAATCCTTAACCCCACTTCTGGCTTTTTTGGGGTACTTAATTGGAGATAAGAGTCTCACAGACTTTTGTGACTGGGCTGGCTTTGAACTGCAATCCTAAGATCTCAGCTTCATGAATAGCTAGGACTACAGGCATGAGCCATCAGCACCCAGCCATTTAAAGATCTTATACTGCATCTACTTCAAGCATGATGCAACAGCTTAAAGACTGTGAATATGCTTAGGTGTTTATGTTTTAGAAAGTTGAGAGACAAAAACCAAAACCAAAACCTCTTCTCTTTATGTTGATATAACAGGACTTGAATTCAGGGCCTTGAATCCTTGCCTAGCTTTTCTGATCACAATTGGTATTCTACCACTTGAGCCAGGCCTCCAGACCCACTTTTTGCTGGTTTATGTCTGTAAATGCCTTACATCCACAAAAAATACCTAGATCTGAGGATGAGGACACAGATGGCCAGTGGGGCACCATGGTCCTGCCCATGACAACATCCTCTGTAGGCTAGAACTTTTGGCAAACTAGTGAATTTAGCAGAAGGTATACGGTGCCCATTGTAGAGATGCAGACATTGAGGTGTCCAGGGAAGAAGTGAGTTCCTAGACATCAGCCTGCTTATAAAACTACCCAGGGAACATGTTGAAAATTCTGGCTTCTGTGCTACTCCAGGCCTAGTGAAGAAGACCCCGAGGGCAAGGCTCTACAGTCACAAAGCCCTTCCCCTCCCTCCTACCCTGTGTGAAGTCTGAGAGAAGGGGGCTCTGTGGGCTCCAGTCCTTTCCCAGGCTGAACTGGACTACTAGCCATGGTAATGTGCCCAGGCAGGCTGGGAGGAGCAGAGCATTGGAAAGGCCCAGGACATGTGTCCTTGGTGGTGGAAGTCAATCAAGACTGGACAGAGAGATGCATACCTCCTTTGAAAAAAAGAATTGGGATGTTTGGGGTTGAACCAAGATTGGACGGGTTCCATCTCTGGGACTCCTATCTGCCCTACCACAGGGCATAGGATGGAGGAGAGGCTGCAGCCCGGGAGGTCAGGCCCAAGTTCAGTCCACGGCTTCATTCTGCCAGAACCCTGCTGTTAACAGGGCCTAGTGCAACTGAACTTAATGCCAGTTCTGACCCTCCCAAATAGAGATTGTGTCCTGTTTGTGAAAATAAGGTTGGCAACAGGATGAGCTACTAAAAGAAACTCCTTTTGGGTACCAGACTCTGACAGCATCCTTAGGACAGTCTGGTTTGATAGAAGGAGCATCCTTTCCATGAGCCCAGCAGCCCAGATGACCCAGCTAGACAATTGGTAAGGGAGCACTGGCCTGTGGCAAGCCCTGTGCAGTGCGGGGAAGAGGAGGTGCTGACAGACAGCCCTGTCACACTGCTCCTGAGCCTCCTAGAGGGTGACATGAGGAGCTAAACTGTAAAACCTGGTGAGCATGATTCAGAGGATCTCAGGGATGCTTCACGGGGGCCCTGGTCAAGGAGTCTGTCTGTTATGGAAGCCCACTGGGGAAATAGGTCTAAATTTGGCTGAGATGGGGCTGGTATTTTGGGGCTTTTTTTTCTTTGATTCCTGTGCTGAGGATAAAACCCATGGCCCTGTGGTGCTAGGCAAGTGCTCTGCTATTCAGCTATATATCCTTAGAAAGTTTTGTTTTATTTTGTTTTGTTTTTGGTCAGTTGTGGAGCTTGAACTCAGGGACTAGACACTGTCTCTGAGCTCTTTTTGCTCATGTCTAGAGCTCTACCCCTTTGTGCCACAGCTGTACTTCCGGTTTTTTGAGTGGTTAATTAGAGATAAGAGTCTCATGGGCTTTCCTGCCCAGCCTGGCTTTGAATCACAATCCTCAGTTCTCAGCCTCCTGAGTAGATAAGATTACTACAGGTGTGAGCCACCAGTGCCTAACTACTTTTCTAACTGTAGGAAACAGCAGGAACTTCCTATCCACCATAACGAATAGTCTATTTGCTTGTTTTTAAATTTCAATGCTAGTTGCCTAATGCATGAAATCATGAAAGAATGAAGTTAGGTTTTTGTTTTATTTATTTTTAAGACATAGCAACAATGAGGATGGTCTCTATAGTAACAAACTGGAGATTCTTGAACAGGTGACATTTCAAAGGCCACCCTTTCAAGATCAAAGTTTCAGCTTTGATATACAACAAAGGTGCCATGCTTGCTGGCACAGATCACCCATCTTTGCAGCATAGGCACCACAACTGTGTGACAGTGATTCAGAGCCAGGGTAATACAGAGAAAGACTGCAAACATTGACTGATATGGCACACACAGGGCTCCCTTGTCTGAAAGGGAAGCTGAGCTGATTGGTCATGCTTTGGAAGAACCATGTCTCTGTGAGTTAGCTTTTACATCTTCTATAGATGGGATCTTTCTGCAGTTACCAGAAACGACAGGAGAACACACTGCACAGGGAGAGGATCCAGTCTCTCCTGCAGCCCTGGGGCCAAGGCCTTTCTGATGCCTTTACTCTCAGTTTCCTGGAAGACAAGTGGGAACCACCTCGCTTTGCTTCACTGGCACAAATCCTAGCTGGAAAGATGACACAAACCATGTGGTTTCTGCCTTTTTCTCCTCACTGAGCTTGTCTTTGTATTTTTTGTGGGGGGGTTGTCTTTTGATTCTTCTATTTTGAGTCAAGGTCTCACTCTGTGGCCTTGAGATCCTCCTGCTCCAACCTCCCAAGTATGGTGATTACAGGCATGTATCCACACAGCCAGCATTGAGCTTGTTTACAGCAACTCCATGGAGCTGTTTTCAGAGAAAACGGAGCCACAGACCACTTGACTGTGTCCTGACAACCCCTAGACAATGGGCCAAAGCAGGGGCGTTCCCTGAGCATGAAGACACTCTCCCTTGTCTGCCTGCACCATCCCATCCTCCAAGAAACACTGGAAAACCAGTGTTAATAACTCCTGGGGTATATCATTCTGGCTGCCCCCAGGAACCCATCCTTGTCCCTCTGAGTGATCCTATGTGCTGGGTCCCAAGCTGGCACTCAGGAACAGAGCTGGGATGCACTGCTGCCTTGCTCTAAGATCCCATCCTTGAGGCATTGAGTCACAAAACTGAGGGACCCCCAGACCCCCTAGCAGTCCTGAGCCCACCTGCCATATGGACCTGTCTCATGTGGGTGGCTGGCAGTGCTGATTGTTGAGTCAGCACTGGAGACTGGACCAATGCTAGTCTACATGACAGTTAAAAACCACTGAGTAAGCCAGGCGCCGGTGGCTCAAGCCTGTAATCCTAGCTACTCAGGAGGCTGAGATCTGAGGATCGTGGTTCAAAGCCAGCCCGGGCAGGGAAGTCCATTAGACTCTCATCTCCAATAACCACTAGGAAAGTGGAAGTGGCACTGTGGCTCAAGTGGTAGAGCACTCGCCTTGAGTTGAAGAGTGCAGGGACAGCACCCAAGCCCCGAGCTCAAACAAACCACTGAGTGATGACATCATCCAGGGGAGCACACAGAGCAAGAGGGTGGAGCACAGAGCCCCAGAGAACACAGATCTTCAAAGGAAGGAGGTGGAAGAGACCCACAGGAGGAAGTATTAGTTTTCTAGGGCTACTGTAAAAGACAATAGTGTAGTGGCTTAAAACAACATGTAAATTGGGTGATGGTGCTCAAGCCTGTAATCCAAGCTTTGCAGGAGGCTGAGATCTGAGGACCACAGTTTGAAGCCAGCCTGAAAAGAAAATTCCATGAGACTTTTATCTCTACTTAACCACTGAAAAGCCCAAAGTGGAGCTATGGCTCAGTGGGAAAGCACCAACCTTGAACAAAAAAACTAAGGGACAGTGCCTAGGCCCTGACCAGCACAAACAAACCAACCCATCACATTTATGCTCTCACACATTGGAGTTCCCATATCTGCCGGGAGCCTGAAAAAGTCTTCTGAGAGAAGCCAGGCACATTCGCTTCTCTGCCTTTTCTAATTTCCAGAAGGAACCTCCCCCCCCCTTCTTTCTTTGCCTTGTGCTGATCTCCATGTTCAAGGCTAGCAGCATGGCATTCTTAGATTTCTTTCTCTCTGTCCCTCTGTCTCCATCATCATATCAACTTTTGTCTGACTCTGATCCTTCTGTGTCCCTCTTATAATGACCCTCGTGACCCCATCAGACCCACTTGGACAGTGCAGAACATACCCTATCTCAACAGCTGGCCTCAATCACACCTGCAAAGGTACAAGAGAGTAGAGCTGGGGTAGGGGTAGGGCTGCAGTTTATCCTGTGTTCCTCACCCACAAGGCCATGGGCCACCTCTGGTCACAGGGAGCACAGCACAGAGGCTGGGGACAAGGGGCCAGAAGCTTCTACTCAGGTTCATTTGTTTCTCAAAGCCCTAAGCCCCTATGAAGATCATTTCGACATTTCTGGGCTGAACTAAGATCGTGTGAAGCACTGGCATGCCAACAAGTGTCAGAACTCTTGGGAGAGCAAGGACCCGGTGAAGGAAAGACAGTACTAGAGGAGGCCATTCAGTGCTGCAGTCTGAGTCTACTGCACTAACTTGGCTTAACTTAATTAAGCCAGCCTGCCCTTCTCACTTTCCTCATCTATCTGTAGCACAGCAATCACTCCCCCACTCACCCCTGGATGATGTGCTAACACACTGGAGTGGGAATTCATAGAACACTCTGTTTGCAAGGGGTCACTCACAAAATATCTACCCAGATTAGGACTCATGGTGGGAAAAAAGAAAGTGGTGGCCACCTGCTTCTGAGGCCCCCATGGAGTCATGGTGACTGCTTTATTTTTCCATACAGATGTTCCCTTCCAGACTGTACTTATCCTAAACAAGACAACTAAAACAGTATGTGGAGCTGTTGCCAGGGCAACCTGACAAAGGACTTTGCCCTCAGCTACTGCATATGTAATTTGTCAAAAGCAGCAGGCATCCAAGAAGAGAAGAGAGAAAGGAGAGGGGAGAGAAAGGCAGAGTTTCTATTCTGGAAAGAAAAGTTACTATGAATCTCTTTTCTGATTAAATCAACTTCTGTAGAATAGTAAAGAAGTTCTAGCTGGGTACAGTGGCTCATGTTTGTACTCCTAGCTACTTAGGAGGCTAAAATCCTGAGGATTAAGATTCGAAACCAGCCTGGGAAGACAAATCTATCCATGGGACTCTTTGTCTCTAATCAACAAAAGCTAGAAGTGGTGATATGGCTCAAGTGACAGCATCCAGTCATAAGCAAAAAAGCAAGAATCTGAGGCTCTGAGTTCAAGCCCCAGTATTGACATGCGCACACATGCACACACGCGCGCACACACACACACACACACACACACACACACACACACAGAAGCTCTGATGGGTACAGTTCAGCAATACTAGGCTGGGAAAGTGAGCAGAGGGAGGCTCCAACTTTTCTCCTGTGTTCTTCACAGATAGATAGAGACTTCACCAAAGGCTTATAAATAATCTAAATCTTAGCTTCTTGGAACACTTGGAGCTTAAAATGTGCCTTAAGGCAAAGAAGCAGGGGAGAAGTAAAAAAGTGAAAGATAGCAGTCAGAATATTTGAGAATATATAAATTCATATGTGGCACCCCTGATAGCTCTTCTCTTATAAATGCTCACATCTCGCGATAGCAGACACTTGTGCTCAGATCAATGACAGAAGTTGGAGGAGCCACAGTCAAGTTCAACCTGACTGTGGTATGAGCAAAAAGATAACCTGTCCATAGCTGTCCAGCTAGGGAAGAGAACTAAGCCAGCAGCTAGCTTCCTGCTTCCCCGCGGTCTTTCTACTTCTCTAGTACCTTTGTCCATGGATATCAGTTTCCGACATCTCTGGGCTGGCTTTGAACTGTAATCCTCAGATCTCAGCCTTCTGAGTAGCTAGGATTAGAGGCTTGAGCCACCAGTGCCTAATATTTTACCAGGATTATTATAGGATGTTTCATGGGACCCTGAATTATGAGGGCCCTGGACAACTTCTGCCCGCCAAGGAATACTGTGGGTATGGGTACAGGTATACATGTACGTGAAAGCACACTACTACTGGAGCTGGCTTTGAACCATAATCCTCAGATCTCAGTCTTTTTTTTTGGGGGGGGGGTCCGTCATGGGGCCTGAACTCTGGGTCTGGGCGCTGTCCCTCAGCATTTCAGCTCAAAGCTAGCGCTCTACCACTTAAGCCACAGCACCACTTCCGGCTTTTTTTTTCTTTTTGCTTATGTGGTGCTAAGGAATCGAACCCAGGGCCTCGAGCATGCAAGGCAAGCGCTCTACCACTGAGCCACCTTCCCAGCCCAGATCTCAGTCTTGAGTAGCTATGATTATAGGCATGACCTATCAGTGGGAATGCTTGTGTTAATCTACTTCCTCCCTCACTTTCCCCACCCCCCGCATTGGTCATGGAGCTTGAATTTAGGGCTAGGAACCATCCCTGAAGTTTTTTGCTCAAGGCTAGTGCTCTACCACTTTGAGCCACTGCGATACTTCTGGTTTTCTTGGAGATCAGAGTCTCCCAGATTTTCCTGCTTGGGCTGGCTTTGAACCACGATCCTCAATAAACTACTTTTATACTTCACAAAATGCCATTTAAAATTATTTAAGGGAACAATCTATTGGGAGAGAAAGGTTGACTGTCATCAGTCTACAATCAGCATACTAGTGTCAACATTGTACTGCCTCAGGAAGATGCTAAGACTGCTGAATTACACGATTTTTTTTTCCCTTCATTTTGGTTTGTGTTTTTTGGAGCCATGGTCTCTCTGACTAGGCTGGTCTTATTTTTTTGGGTCCATAGTGGGGCTTGAACTCGGCTTGAGCACTGTCCTTGTGCTCTTCAGCTTAAGGCGAGCACTCTACCACTTGAGCCACAGTGCTACTTCCAGTTTTCTAGTGGTTTATTGGAGATAAGAGTCTCACGGACTTTTCTGCCCAGGCTGGCTTTGAACCGTGATTCTCAGATCTCAGCCTCCTAAGTAGCTAGGATTACAGGCGTGAGCCACCGGTGCCTGGCTTAGGCTGGTCTTAAACTCATCATTTTCCTCCCCACCTTCTGAGTGCAGGATTACATGTGCATTATACCTGGCAACTATATGCTTTAGAATACTGGATTTTATTTTTTAAGTGTTTTATTATGTATGTAGAAATTATATGACATAGCCAGGTGTGGTGGTTCACATCTGTAATCAGCTACTACTGAGGAGGTGGAAACTTGGAGAATCAAGGTTCCAGGATAACCCAGGAAAAAGCAAGATCCAATCTCAACCCATAAGCCAGGCATAGTGATACCCAACAGTCTGAGACTATGAAAAATAACTGAAGCTGGGAGTGTGGTTAAATGGTAGAGTACCCACCTACCAAGTGAGAAGCCAAGTTCAAAGCTCAGATTCAACAAAAAAAAAATTCTCACTCCTCTTCCCCTTTCCTCTTCCTCCTCCTTCCTTTCCTCCCTCCCTCTTTCTCTCTAAGATATTTTATTTAAATTTAAAAACATCAATGCTCCTTTGCTCATACTAAGAGGGACACCAGGTTAAGGTCAGAAACCTCAAGTGAGAATGACACATCACAATGCTGACTCAGGCCTTCCATTCCCATCCTACCCAGGTTCTGGCTGGGAGACCAGGGGCCCCAGAGCTGCTCCTTACCGAGTTGGTACCCAGTATCTGCAGGTTGGGCTTCTCTGACTCCAGCAGCTTGGCCACCATCTTGAGGAAGCTCTCCACGAAAAGGTTGATGCTCTGGCAGTGGCAGGCCATAAGCAGCTGGTCCAGCGCCTCCATGGCGATGCACACGTACCTGGGAAGGGCAGCAGGGGGCAACTGGGTGTCAGCATGGTGACCTTGTGGGCAGCATCAGGGAAGAAGACTGTCATGGGCTGCCACAATTTCTAGGTTGTAACTCCAACAAGTGACCACTCCACTAGAACTGATCATCAGTAAGACTTAGAGCTGTAAGGGGGTTTTGCAAATATGCAGTGACCTGAAGCTCTCAGTCCAGGGTCATGTGCAGCATAGAAAATGAAGCGGAGTCCATGCCAGGTGCCTATAATCTTAGCTTCTCAAGAGGCTGAGATATTAGGATCATAATTGGAAGCCAACCTGGACAGAAAAATTTGTAAGACTTTTATTTCCAATTAACCACCAAAAAGCCAGACATAGAGCTGTGGTTCAAGTGGGTAAGTGCCAGCCTTCAGCAATAAAAGCTAAGCGAGAACTTGAGGCCCCCAACACTGGCACAAGGGGCGGCGGTGGGGGGGGGAAGGAAGAAGGGAGAGTTCAGAGATTTCATCTTCATGGCTTGATCCTAATCATATTCATCTTTAAACATTAGTCAGACATTTAAAATGAACAAGAATTAGACTTGCTAATGTCTTTTTAAAGATAACCAAAGTTTAAGTAAATAAAAAGACAGCTCTGAAAGCATGACTACAGGATCATTTCTGGAACCATTAGGTGGCCCTCATTAAGCCCCACAGTATGTCCTAAGCATCTGTTTAATTCAGATTGAAGTAAGGCGGTCAGGTCTGGCTGGCACCATATTGATCACATGGTGGATGGTAGGGTCTGGCATCTTGTCTTCATGATGGGAGAAGGTAACCCTCTCTGCCCCCCCCCATCACCTGCCTCCCAGGTGGGCGAGCCTGGAACCCTGGAGGCAGGGGCAGGCACTTGGCTGATAGGTTACTGAGTCTGTCAGTCCAGTGCCCGGGACTGGGAATTTCCTGAGGATCTGCCCCCTGTGCCGACCTATTTAAGCCCGGACCAGCCTAGCCACCAGGACTCCATGCCACGTGTGTCTCTGTGATCAGGTGCTGTGTCCTGTCTCCTGGCTCGTCTCCAGTCATCATGGAGTCCCATTCAGCTCTCCATTGGAGCTGAACTGGCTTGTTGATATTGTTTTTGTTATCTCTTTCCTCTTTAACATGTTTCCTAGCTGTGTTATGTGTATTTGCATGCTGCAGGCCTTTGTAACAACTGGTGGCCTGCAGTCTGTTAAATGTATAATAAAGACTCCAATATTCTATATTTTAAAATTTGGCTTATGGGCTGATTTACCTTACAACAAGATAATGTACTCAGACTGCCTTAGACAATGACAGCTTTGCAAGTCTAAACATGTAAGGTAATATATATCAGACACCAAACAACCATGTTAAAAAACAAACAAAAAACAAAACAACAACAAAAACAACCTCTTGATCTGGGGCATACATGTAGCAGACTCCTAGCCTACCATACATGACAGCCTGTATGTTTCAGCACCAAAAAAAGAAAGGAAAGGAAATTTTAAAAAAGCTGCTGTGATTTGAATTTTTCTTCCTACTTCCATGACCCTCCAGAGCCCCACCCTTCAGAGGCCACCACCATCACTGCCAGGAAACCTGCAGACCAGGCATCTGGCATGTCGCAGGTGCACTGTGCCAGCCAGGTAAGCAGAGCCTGAGGCCTGCGTTTGGAGAAACAGGCTGGCCTGGATCCTTGTCAGAGAGGTCAGACTTTCCCTGCAGAGAAACCTGGACACGTCCAATCAACCACATCGGGCAGGAAATGAGGGCAGGTTGAGTGACATTCTCTTTGCTTCTAGATCATCCTGAGTATCTTTCTGTGTGAAGGAATCTGACAGTATCTCACTATTATTTTACAGAGTGTAAGTACTGGAAGTAAAGGAAGGGGTGGGGTAGCTGGGGCTAGGTAAAAGAAGAAGCTAGAAGGCTTCCCCCATCCCAGAGCCTAGATTGCTATTTTTCCTGTTCCTGTAAAGAAAAAAAATCTAGAATATCCTGGTAAGCAAAAAACATCCTTTGCTAGGAACAAAAAGAATTGGATACTGACCAGGACTAGAAATTTTTTGTTGTTGTTGGAAAATGAAAACTATAGCGGAAGTGAAACTGAAGTGTAAAGAAACTGTAAAGCTAAGCCAGGCGTGGTGGTTACATGCTTGTGATCCCAGCCTTTTGGGAGGCTGATGCAGGAGGATCAAGAGTGCAGGGCTGGCCTATACAGCCTCAAAAATCAAAAGTCGGGGAGAGGGGCAGCAGGGAAGGGAGGGGTTGTAAGAGAATGAGAGACAGGGAAAGAGAGAGGTGTAAGGTCTAATTCTTTGAACATACTGAAGTAAGGAGGCCAGGTCTGGCCGGTGCCATATTGGCCACATGGTGGATGGTAGGGTCTGGCATCTTGTCTTCATGCTGGGGGAAGGGAATCGAAGGGTTCCCTTCCCCACCCCACCCCATCACCTGCCTCCCAAGTAATGGGCGTGCCTGGAACCCTGGAGACAGGAGCAGGCATTTGGCTGATAGGTTACTGAGTCTGTCAGTTCAGTGCCCGGGACTGGGAATTTCCTGAGGATCTGCCCCCTGTGCCGACCTATTTAAACCCGGACCAGCCTAGTCATCAGGACTCCATGCCACGTGTGTCTCTGTGATCAGGTGCTGTGTCCTGTCTCCTGGCTCGTCTCCAGTCATCATGGCATCCCAATTCAGCTCTCCATTGGAGCTGAACTGGCTTGTTGGTATTGTTTTTGTTATCTCTTTCCTCTTTAGCATGTTTCCTAGCTGTGTTGTATGTATTTGCGTGCTGCAGGCCTTTGTAACAACTGGCGGCCTGCAGCCCATAAAGACTCCAATATTATGTATTTTAAAATGTGGCTTCTGGCATGATTCACCTTACAACAGTACTACCACTTAGCTTTCCATCTCTGACCCCAGTAACTTAAACTTTTCAAAGAATCTTGGGAAACTGGAAGCCAATGGGACTCAGGTCCTAGCCCAATGCTCTCCATGTTTGTCCCTCCACAGTGTGTCCCAGCTATGCTCTCAGAAGGAACAGAGCATGGGGTCCTCGGGGCCACATCCACTCCACAGAACCATGGTGAAAAGGTGACCATCAGCGATCTGACCTGGGGCTGGTGTCCTAGAAGGGGTACAAAGGAGTGACAGGTGTGGGCATCCAATTAGCTGGGAACCTGGAGCAGAATGGTTTAAAAAGGAGCTGGGCCCTGGAGGGAGCAAGAGTAGGTACAGACCACAGATAGTCCCAGGGGTTCCAGAAGTGCACCCAGCAGGTAAGGAGGAAGAACCAAAGGATGAAGAGTAGCCTGGGACTCCCAGGCAGCAAAGGGGGCTACGGGCAGGTTATAGAGCAATGTCAGGCTCTGGGATTGAGGTCGTAGGTGAGTTACAGCCATTAAGGACAATGCCTAGGGGTCTTGGCACTTAGGAGAAAGGCCAGAAGTTGCCTTGTCCAGAGTCCCAGAGAAGGCTGGCTCTGCTCTGATGCCTCATGCTCAGTCAGAAGCAGCCTGTGAAACCAGGGAAGATGGGGTGCCTCCTAGGGAGGAGTGAGTGGGGTGAGCAGGCTGGGAAGCACACTCAGATGGAGAGGAAAAGCAGACAGGAAGAAGAGGCAGCTTCAGGAGGAACTGGTCATCACCCAAGAATTACTCAAAGGCCTTGACAAAGCACCTCTCATTCTGGGCAGTGTGTTTGTATTTGGTGAGCCTGCTCTTGGAATCTTCTAGGGTTGGGGTGCTCAGAAGCAGAAAGCAGGGGTTGGCCTCTGTTCTGGAAGGGGGGTTATGGCACTCCCCTCCTGGAAGAAGCCCACAGAGTGCTATCTAGAGTCAGCTGCCCTTCCCCTAGCCTCAGCTCCTTCTTGAGAATGTGCTTTTTTGAGGACATTCTTCTCAGCTGGGTGACCCCAGGCACCGTATCAGACCATCTAACATGGGATCCTGCACACCACAGCCAATGTTCAGTGTCCACTGCAGACTGACTCAAGTCTTGCTCAGCACTGCTGACCCCTCTCCCCTGTATCCCAGCTTCCAGGGGATGTTCCCACAGTTGGGCTGAGTTGGAAAATAAATGTACAGAGAAAGGTAAGAAACAGAAGGAATGCTTGCCTTTTGCTGCTCTGGATATCTCTACCCAGCATATTTCGTGACCTTGAACACCCCCTGGAGATACCCTGCTCCCTCCCTCTGCCCACTTCTGACTATCCCTCTGATGTCAAACATCCATGAGTCAGGAGCCCCAAACAGCTGGGACAGGGTGATGACACAGGAAGGCAGTGGTCAAAGATGATGGTTCTGCCACAAGAACCCATCCGTATCTTAGCCCATACTCTTAGGACTACATCATAGAGACCCCCACAGACCATCACAGGGAGCCTTGGCCCTTCCCACTGTCTGTTTGTGACCATTCTGCTCTTCTAAAACTGCCATTAGTGATGAGGAAGATGAAAAGGTGTGTAGTGTTGGATGGGGAGATTCAAGAGGGAGAGGGATACATTCTAACACATTTTCCCCCCCTCTCCAAACATTTATGATTAAAGTCCTCTGTCAGGCCTTCAGGCTTTAAATACCTAGAAGCGGCAAAGGCTATTTTTAACAGGACAATGCCAATTTTGAATTGCAATTCTAAGGGCAGTGGAAAGGATTCTAAAATGGCTCTGCTGGCTGCCAGGCATTTCTACCAAGAGACCCATCACTGCAGAGAGGGCTGGTAAAATTAGCATTAAGTGTTTCATGCTATAGCTGGCACATCATTTTTAGGTTCAAGTTAGGATAATGCCATTTTTACTTGCTTGACTATTCTTTACAATATGCCTTTATATAACCTGAATGCAGTATATTCAGGCTCGTCTTATTGAGTGTGTAACCTAATTTTATTACATAAAATGATTGTAGAAACATAATAACTTGCATTCTGTTTTTACACTAAGGGTAGCCTGACTTCAGAGTTTCTGGAACTGGAGGTATAGCTTAGTGATACTATATGTGCTTAATTAGTATGTACAAGGCCCTGGTTGGATCTAGCACCAAAACCAAACAAACAAAAAGACTTGCTGGTAGGCCGTGGGCTTTCTGGATCTCAGCACCTTGTCAGCCAGATCTAGACCAGGTTCTACAACAGGTGTGGCATGTATGGTAGGCACAGCTGGGACAGGAGCAGGCTATGGAAGACTCTAGAAGTCAAGATGAGGAATGTGGAGTTTGTTCTAAAGGGACCAGGAGGATATAGCTTCAAGTCCGAGTGTTTAAGATATTAACCTGGAAAGACCACACAGGAAATATGGGAAGCAAGGAGACAATTCTCAAGGTCACTGTCATCATCTGAACTAAAAGAGAGTAAGAATCTGGAGTTGGGAGTGTAGCTCAATAGTAAAGACTTGTCTAACATGTGAGCCCTTGGGTTCCACCCCAAGGGACAATAGCTCTGCAAAACCAATCAACTAACAAACAAAATTATATAATCTGAACCAAGAAAAGGGCAGAAACGGAAGAAAAGAGGAGAATGATATAAGCTAAATTTGTTTTGTTTTGTTTTGGCAGTAGTGGGGTTTGAACTCTGGCCCTGGTGCTGTCCCTCAGCTCTTCAGCTCAAGGCTAGCGCTCTACCATTTGAGCCACAGTGCCACTTCCAGTTTTCTGGTGGTTAATTGGAGATAAGAGTCTCACAGACTTTCCTGCCTAAGCTGACTTTGAACTGTGATCCTCAGATCTCAGCCTCCAGAGCAGCTAGGATTACAGGCGTGAGCTACCTGTGCCTGGCTAAGCTAAACATCTTTAAACACTTTTTATTTGTAGATGGCATTTTCCCAAATTTTATTTATCTATTTAACTTACTGAACTCTTCTTTTGTTGGACACTTGAATTATTGCTACTTTTGCATTGTTATTTTAAAAACTCCATAATGAACAGCTCTGTAGATAAAGCTAGACTGTACTTAAGGTTGAATAGAATAGACAAATAGAAAATATCAGGGAATAGACAAATAGAAAAAGGAATTACTGGGCCAGAGTGCCTAAATTGTTTTCAAGTTCTTTTTTCTTTTTCTTTTGGTCAGTCACGGGGCTTGAACTCTGGTGGGTAATTGGAGATAAGAGTCTCATGGAGGGGCTGGGAAGGTGGCTCAGTGGTAGAGCGCTTGCCTTGCATGCATGATGCCCTGGGTTCGATTCCTCAGCACCACATAAGCAGAAAAAGCCAGAAGTGGCTATGGCTCAAGTGGTAGAGTGTTTACCTTGAGCTGAAGAGCTCAGGGACAGCGCCCAGGCCCAGAGTTCAAGCCCCATGACCGACAAAAAAAAAAAAGCGTGGACTTTTGCCAGGCACCGCTGTCTCATGCCTGTAATCCTAGCTACTCAGGAGGCTGAGATCTGATGATCACAGTTCAAAGCCAGCCTGGGCAGAAAAGTCCGTGAGACTCTTATCTCCAATAAACCACTAGAAAACTGGAAGTGGTGCTGTGGCTCAAGCTGTAGAGCGCTCGACTTGAGCTGAAGAGCACAGGGGTAGCGCCCAGGCCCAGAGTTCAAGCCCATCACCGACCAAAAAAAAAAAAAAAGTTTCATGGAATTTCCTGCCCAAGTTGGCTTTGAACTGTGATCCTCAGCTTCCTGAGTAGCTAGGATTACAGGCATAACCCACCAGTGCCCAGATGGTTTTCAAGTTCATAGTATACATTTCAGAATTACTTTCTGGAAAGTTCCTTTCCAGAGAAGTAGGAAAATCCTTTATATTGCCATTTTCTAGTTAAACCTGGAATATTTACTTATTAACTTGATAGGATGACATCCTGAATTTCAGTGCTCATCTTTGATGATTAGTTTGTTGAATATTATCCCTTTTCATTCTAGCTCCCATCTGTTCATGCCTTTTTTGTGTCCTGTGCCTCAAACTTTTTAGTATTTCAATCTTGCCACTCTACCCTCAAACTATTTATTACCTGCTACTCATGTATAAGTTTGAATTATTTATGTGTATGTGTATGTGAATGTGTATCTTGGTAGTAAGACTTAAACCCTAAGCCTTACACTATCACTCAGTTTTTTTGCTCACAGTTGGTGCTCTAATACCAAACTATGTCTTCAGTTTTTTGCTGGTGAACTGGACCTAAAAGTCTCATAGATTTATCTGCCTGGGCTGGTTTTGAATCTTGATTCTCAGGTTTCAGCCTTCTGAGTAAGCAGAATTATAGGTGTGAGTCTTGTTTTTTGGTAGTATTTATTTTTGGTGTTTGCCTTTTAAATTTTAATGGTTTCTCTCTGGACATCAAAATATTTAAAAATTTATATAATAATGCTATTGATTAGTCATTTTTCTTTAAAATTTCTCTCTTTTAAACACAGTCCTTCTAGATAAACATTTCACCGAAGTGTATTTTTTGTTTTGCTTTATCAGTCATAGGGCTTGAACTCTGGGCCTGGGGGCTGTCCCTGAGCTCTTCAGCTCAAGGTGAGTGCTCTACCATTGAGCCACAGTACCACTTCTGGTTTTCTGGTGGTTAATTGGAGACAAGAGTCTCACAGACTTCCCTGCCTGGGCTGGCTTTGAACCATGATCCTCAGATTTCAGCCTCTTGAGTAGCTAGGATAACAGGTATGAGACACCAGCGCTTGGCTTGAAGTGTACTTTTAATAAACAAATTGCTGCAACCTGGCCTCTCAGTAGGACCTGGTGGTTCCTCCTCACTTTTTAAGTGAGTCCAGGAAGACTGGGTAAGTTGCATTCAGGGCTGGGCTAATTCTTTACAGCCCTAAACTGTGTGAAAACATCTATGTTAGACAGTAGCATCTAATCTCTTCACTGCCACTGGAAGAGCAGTCTGTCCAATAGCCTACCCATTATCTTTTTCATGAAATTACCTTATATTGTTTTTTTCCTAACCATATAATACAGCTTCTAAAAATCTCTCTTCCCCTCCTCATACAACTTACCCATATCGATGGCGACCCACATCACGGATGAGCCTCTCTGAGAGATAGGCACCAATGCGATCTAGTTTTTCTGGAGCTGAGAGTGCATAGAAGGTCAGCTTCTCCATGTTGGTCTTCACCAGGCCATCCTGAAGAAGACAGATGTCTCAGATTTACCACAGCCAGTCTATGGCAGAAGGGCTCATAGGCAGTAGACAAGAGCTCAGTTGAGTCCCCATTTGTAAGTGCTTATTAAGTGCATCTTAGATAATATTATAGGGACCAGGAAAACAGACCTGGGTCCTGACCCCCAGGAAGCCACACCCTTGCCCTGAGTTTGCTAGCTATGAATATATAAGAATAGGGACAGAAATAGGTGTGTGCATGTGTGTGTATATGTGTGTGGGGGTATATTCATGAAGCTATTTATATTTGTGTGTGTGGGTATATACATCCATGGGTGTGTGAATGAAAAGCTGTCATTAAAAGCAACTCAGAATATGGATAAACATAGAGCACGAATCTAACTAAGGGACTACTTAAGAGGAGAAGAGAAAGGGGAAAAGATACAGGGTGAAAATTTTTTGAGTTACCCTGCAACTATATATGAAAACAGCATAAAAAACCTTAATGAAAGCTGTTGAACAATAGGAGGCTTGGGGAATGGGAAAGAGAAACAGGCTTTGTTGGGGGTCGGGCTAATGAAGGTGAAAAAGGATGAATATGATCAAAATAGATTATCTACATGTTTGGAAACAGAACAATGAAACTTGTTGAAATCATATTAGGAAGGGTGGAGGGAGGGGAGGGGAGTGCTGCAGGGAGGGGCGGGGAGGGGGGCAGGAGATTGATTGGAATACAGTGTAAGCATGCATGAAAACGTCACAATAAAATCCTCCTAGCTAATGCAAGCTAATTTAAGGGAAAAAAGCAAGTCAGAATTAAGACACATCAAGTCAGATATCCATCACCAAGACATAAAGAAGGCAGATTTGCAGCTCTTAAGGAATTCTCCAGAGGATGCTAGAAATTCGATCGGCCAACTGGCCCATTCAGAAGAGGCCATTGATTCCCTGAGAGCAACTCAACAACATCAAATCCTGACATTTCTTAGCCCACAACCCATAATGTAGTGTGACATGTGGCGTGGTGGCTTGGAAGCCAAGAAGCTAGGCTTCCCATGTGAGCCACCCAGACGCCTGGCAGATGCCAGAGGGAGCAGGGGAGACACACAGGCCTCTAGCCAAAACCCCAGACAGAGGCACACTTCCCCTAAACAGCAGGGGGTGATTTCCATCCTAGAGAGTAAGCATCAAAAGGCAGGATTAAGAAAGATGTCTCAGTCAGAGACCAAAGCCCAAAACAGACTTCCTTCTGCCTTCTGCACAACCTGCCTTCTGAGACAGCCAATGCCTGCATCCTCCAGATTCCTCTGGGTCTCTCTCCATTCCCAGGCTGGGGTCCAGAACTCCATTTGTCAGGGCAGGCCTCGTGGTCAGGGATCTCAGGGGCCTGCCTTCCCATTATAGTAGATCGCAGCACCCAGCCTGGATGGTGAGGGCTATACCACCTGCCAGAGCTGTGACCCACCTCAGGATCCTCAGGGAAGATGTTGTCAACTAGCCTTTTGTACCTGGGGCGAAGGGCACCACAGCAGCCGCACACACCTGGAGGGGGGAAAAGGAAAACAACGACAACAACCCATGAGCAAAGCCTTGGGGGGATGGCAGAAACCTGGGAGCCAGGACAGACTCAGCACTACCTGTGAGGATATAAGGCCAGAAAGATGGTGAAGGATGGAGGGGCTGTTGCTCCTCCTATTATTCCCCTACTTATTCCTTGTACCTTAAGACATCTTCCACCCTCTTCTACTCCCCTCCTGTTGCAGTATGTGAAACTATAACTTAACAAGACTGTTAACTATCAACATCAGAAAATGTGCCTCGAAGGCCAGAAGGCCATGGTATTTGAATACTGTAGGCATGGGGAGTTGGGGCTGAGCCCCAAGCGTCAATCCAGATCATCCAATGTATGGTTCTCCATGCCACTCACTCCCTAGGCTCCACTTGTGACAAAATGGAAAAATGTGATACTTTTGTGTGTGTGAACTGGGGCTCGAATTCAGGGTTTGGGCACTATCCCTGAGCTTTTCCACTCCTTTGAACCAGAGTGCTACTTCCAGTTTTCTGGTGGTTCTTGGTGATAAGAGTCTCATAGAAAGCCTGGTGCCAGTGGCTCACCCATGTAATCCTAGCTACTCAGGAGGCTGAGCTCTAAGAACCATGGTTAGAAGCCAGCCTAGGCAGAAAAGTGTCCACGAGACTCGTATCTCCAATTAACCACTCAAAAATGGTACTGTGGCTCAAATGGTAGAGCACTAGCTGGCCTTGAGCACAAAGAAGCTCAGAGACAGCACCCAGGCCCTGAGTTCAAGCCCCATAACAAACAAACAAACAAAAAGAATCTCATGGACTTTCCTGCCCAGGCTGGCTTTGAACTGCAAGCTTCAGATCTCGGCCTCCTAAGTCGCTAGCATTACAGGCATGAGCCACGAGCATCTAGCTCTGAGCTTCTTTCTGCTCAAAGCTAGTACTCTGCTTCTGGCTTTTTTGGTGATTAATTGGAGATAATTGTCTCTTGGACCTTTCCTGTCCAGGCTGACATCAAACCACAATCCTCAGCTCTCAGCCTCCTGAGTAGCTAGGATTACAGGAGTGAGCCACCATTGCCTGGCAATGTAGTACATTTTGCTTCAGGTAAAATTGATTTTGGGAAGATGTCTTCCTTCTTGATCTTGGGTGCTGGGAGGTAATGTCAGGAAACCTATGATAAAATGAGTTTCAGCAAAATTGCTCCAGGTCCACAATAAGAAGTTTAATGAATAGAGGAAATGGGAACATCTGGAAACCAGCTCAGCTGCTTCATCTCCAGGCAGGAACATCCTAGCTGCACCAGCCCTGCAGTGAGGTGTAGGGGAGGGAGCACTGTGGAGGGACCTAGAGAGGCAGCCAGGGCCTGGGAAAGTCATCCTTTAAAGAAAACTAGGAGCCCCTATATCTCCCCAATTAAAGATGAATTCTGTTTATACAAGCATTCTACTTGATATGCAAATGTGCCTGTGAGGATTAAGCCAGTGAGTCATTGAGAAAAGAATGATTCCTTTGGTGGGAATTACTTCAGCCACACAAAGTGCTCTACACATGGCTGGTGGGAGGAGAGAAGCTGCTCAGACTTGGAAGGCAAGGGATGCCCAGCCAGGATGGGGGAGAGCAGCTATTTGAGCTCTAGGACTACCATGGGTATCAGGGAATATCCACAGGAATGAACACTGTTTCTATCCTCATTTTACAGATGAGAAAACAGAGGCATTAGCAGATTAAGTTACTTGCTAACAGATTAAGTTACTTGCTAGAGCTGCACAGTTCTTTTTTTTTGGTTGGTTGGCCATGGGGCTTGAACTCTGGGCCTCACACCATTCCTGAGCTCATTTTGCCCAAAGCTAGAGCTCTACCACTTAAAGCCACAGGACCACTTACCATTATCTGGTGGTTAATTGGAGTTTTACAAATTTTCCTGCCCTGGCTGGCTCTGAACCATGCATGATCTTTAGATCTCAGCCTCCTGAGTAGTAAGGATTACAGGCGTGAGCCAGCAGTGGCCAGCTTGCAGAGTTCTAGTAAACAGCCAACTAAAAAAAAAAAGTCTAAGCCAGGCACCACTACTACCATTGGTTCATACCTGTAATCCTAGCTACCCAGGAGGCTGAGATCGGAGGATCGTGATTCAAAGGCAGCCTGGGCAGGAAAGTCCATGAGACTTTTATTTCCAATAAACTCCCCCAAATCCAGAAATGGAGATGTAGTTCAAAATGGTAGGATGCTAGCAATGCCCAGGCCCAGAGTTCAAGCCTCAACACTGGCACCAAAACAAAAAAGAGGATCACATAGTCACAGAGCTAGGAAAACTCAAGGCACATATGTTAAGAGAGGAATAAGAGGACTGTGCCTTTCAGACTGGAAAGTGCCAAGTCTCTGGAGATCTTGTTAAAATACAGTCCATTTTAGCAGCTCAGGGTGGAGGCAGGCCATGTTGGCCCATCCAGCAGCCACACATGCAGACTGGGTCACGTTTGCAATCTGGCCTACTCATTTGGGCTCAAGTTCAAGACAGGCTTTGGGTTGAAACCTTTGTTCAAACAGTATGGCCTTAAGTAAGTTACTTAACCTAGATCTGTGCCTCTTCATATACATATTTAAGCTGATAATCATTCCCATCCAGGGGACCACAGGAGACAATGCATCCAGCAACTTCCTCTTGTTTTCCAACCCAGAAGAGAAGATAGAAGGGACAGACTAAAGCCAGCTTTAGCAGCGGGTGGCGGGGGGGGGGGGAGTTTTGTATGGATTTACAGGGTTTCTGGGAGCCACCTGAGCAGTGGATGACAGTGACAATCCACTCAGAGGAGACATGCAATGTGGTTCAGAAGGCAGAAGTGCAGCCCAAAGCTGAAGCGACAGGGCCAAGACAGGAGAAGAAGGGGCAGATCAAGCAGGACTTCTGCTTGCCACAAAGGAGCAGGAGGAAGACAGGAAATAAGAGTGTGGATTTTCAAGCAGTACCCTCCCCACAGAGAATAACAGCCCTGAGAAAGACCACGGCTGAAACCACGGAGGGCCCCACCTGCGTGGGACCTCTGGGCTAGGGCACAGGAAGCAGGAGGCAGTATGAAGGCTTGCAAAGTTGGCTTTCCCTTCCCCTCAGCCACTTCCTTACCGTTTCCCATTTCCCTCATTTCTCTGCCACTTGCCTAAGGTCCTCCAAGTTGGGACTGCTGTCTTCAGATGGCAACACTGCACTTAAAAATATCTCTTATTAGCATTCCTCTGAATATCTAGATCTCCTCTGGTCTTGGTGATTGAACTAATTCACAGGCTGCTGGGAGCCATCTTCCACAGGGTATGTGGATTTTTTTTAAATTAAAGCCAAGGAAAATATTCCTTAGCAGTAGAACTTTCGAGATCTTTGCATATCTGGGTATTTATATGATGAAACTAACATACACGTATCTGCAAACTGTTAACTCTCCAGTTTTGGGCTGTTTACTAGCTTGTTTTTAATTCTTTCCAAGCCAAGTTTTGAGAAAAATATAATAGCCTAGTTTAGGGGGGAAAAAAGTATAGAAAAACGTGTGTGTGTGTGTGTGTGTGCGCGCGCGCGCGCGCGCCCGCGTGCGCATGCACGCCAGTACTGGGGCTTAAACTCAGGGCCTTGTCATCTCACCGGGCTTCTTCTAGTCAAGGCTGGCACTGTACTACTGGGTCATGCCTCCAGCTGGTTTTGGAGATAAGAGTATCTAAAGATTAGCCTGCCTAGGTTGGCTTCAAACTATGATCCTCAGATTTCAGCTTCCTGAATAGCTAGGATTACAGGCAGGAACTACCAGCTACAACATTTTAGCATCCACTTTGCTTCTTTTTCTTTCTTTCTTTTTTTTTAAATGTGTATGTGCCAGTTCTGGGGTTTGAACCCAAGGATCCTTGCTCCTACTTGTCTTTTTCACTCAGCTGGCACTCTGCCACTTGAGCCACATCTCCACTTCCAAAAAAAATAAATAATTAAGGTTTGCTCACTGTAACTCACCACAGGATAAATCTTGAAAGCAGATGGATAACTATATAGCTGACCACATATCTAACTATCCCAATGAAAGAAATTGAATCACTGGAACCAACCAACCCAAGACCAGATTACACTTTACCTACATTCCCTTAGAAAGGGGCCAATCATACAGTTAGAGAAGTTTTCTGGAGGGTGGCACGCCCTGTGTGGCTAATGCACTTTCTGCATTGGCAGGTAATCAGAGCCCAGGGCAGAAGATAAAAATTCTCTGAGCCCCTGCTGAGCAGATGCCCAAACACTGGGAGCCAACGAAGCTCAGAGGGAGCTGGGAACACCCTAACACTCTTAGAGAGCTTCAGCCCAGGGCAGTGAATGCAAAAAAAAAAAAAAAAAGCCACAAGTCAGACAGAGAGAGCCAAATAGAAAACATTACAGTGAAACTGAAGACAGTTCATTGAAATGAGAATTTAAGTAATATGTTTGTACATATGTCTTTACTCTTGCTTCTGAGGGCATATATTCTATTAGTGCACAGAAGCAGGTGGGGTTTGACTCATAGCCACATGCCTATAAAGAATCATTTAAACTGGGCACCAGAGGCTCACACCTGTAATCCTAGCTACTCAGGAGGCTGAGATCTGAGGATCATGGTTCAAAGCCATCCCGGGCAGGAAAGTCCATAAGACTCTTATCTCCAATTAACCACCAGAAAACTGGAAGTGGCACTGTGGCTCAAGTGGTAAAGTGCTCACCTTGAGCTGAAGAGCTGAGGGACAGGGCCCAGGCGCAGAATTTAAGCCCCACGACTGACAAAAAATAAAAATAAATCACTTAATTCTGAGCCATTTTACTTCAAAAACTGAAGAGCTGTCACAGATCAGGGTCCCCTCTCCATCTCTGGGGACTCATTGGCAAATCCAATCAGAGTACACTAAAGGTAAATTTATAAAGGATTCTTTTTGCCAGCCATGGTGGTTTATGCTTTTTATCCCAGCTCTTTGGGAGGATCACAGTTCAAAGCCACTCCAGGCAAAAAGTTAGCAGGACA